CTGTTCAATTTTAAGGAGCGATAGATATATATATACCAACTATGACCAAAGTGAGGTAATCTTCAGTGAAAAACACTGCTCTGGTCATGGACCCACCAACATTTCCGGAGAATGATATTAGAAGGCAAGATAGGTTGAAAATCACTTCGGATTCGAAATCAGGACGTAACCCTGTAGGTACCTCGAAAACGAAGCAAGTTTAGGACACATGTTTATACGACCTTTATTCATCATATTATATCACAAGGAATCATCTCTTGAATTATTTCGGTGTTATTTAGATACACCCTGTATAGATCATTCTTCATCCCAATATAGTTATTCAACATTTTTCCCATAGCGAAGTTCAGCAAATACCGATGGCGAGAGCACTATGTTTATTGATTTGATGTCTACCTATAATATTATATGTAAAACAAGAAGGCACAACTACTAGTGTTCCGTTTCGAAGTACATTAAATTGAATTTGACTCATAACGTAGCTAGAGCTGTCCGTTTACGTGTCTCCACCGCTTAAGGAACGATCGGGCGTGTTCGGTGAACACACGGGTATGATCTCGAGACTCTAGTATCCTGGGCAGGCGCGAGATCCCGGAACAGCGGTCCTGGATTTATATCGTGGAGGGCGTGCTCCATTGGCTGACCGTTCAGGTTGGAGTGGTTTCGGTGAATATTGAAGGGATGATGTTACCAGCATAAACATCCCTGGGATGTTTTGAGAATGTTGGCATGAAGATGTTTTTTTTGGGACGTAATATGCACCTCCCAGAGAGAGGTATATTCCTGTGATGTTTTGGAATGATTTGAAAATTTTGGATCAGGATGTTTTTTGAGACGTGATATGCATTCCTAGGATGTTTTTGAAAATGTTGGCATGAGTTTTTTTTTTGTTGGGGCGTATTATCCCACTAAACATGAAATCATAACTTAAACATATCGGGTGGTCACAAAAAAACCGGAAGTTTTTATTTTCCTCGTGGTTTCATCATTTCACAACCGAATTCCAATTTCTTGACGTCGTTTCATAGCTAAAGGGCTATAGTATACAGTGGAATATTTGAAAATTTCATAATGAATAAAAACAAAATGGCGGATTGTACCAAAGTATTGTCATTTACAAAAACCGCTAGAGAAAAAGAAAATCAGATTTTTCCCAACCTGTACCGATGTCATCTTAGGCTATTCAGAGAATGAATACTCACCCAAATTAGGGATACTCAATTTTTTTGCAATTATGGAATTTTCAGATGTTCCACTGTGTACTAATTAATCCAAATTCGATTGAATTCTGATGAAGCCAGAAGCAAACTAAAAGTAATTCTTATCACGGGATTGGCACATTCACTCCATAACACTTTGCCAAAAAGAACGTTTTTCTCCTGGACTAATTGTTCGATTCAGATGTTCGAGTGCTCATTCTTTTTAGAAATCAATGATCTAAAATTGTAACGGTCCTGATTGAAAGAATAAACATTTTTTTATTCGCCAGAGATTTTTGAAAATCACAAAAATTCTGGATACTCCACCATTTTGTTTCTTTCAATTATTGGATTTTCAAAGTTTCCATTGTGTGCTACAGTTCTTTATGTTTGAAATAACTCTAAGAAATCCTAATTCAATTGAATTTTCATGAAGCCCGAAGCAAAATAATAATAATCGTTTATACGAGATTATAGCACATTCACTCCATAACAAATTGCAAAGAAATGAGTGTATCTACTCGACTATTTGTTCGATTTCGATGTTCGAGAACTCATTCTCTTCAGAAATGAATAGCCTAAGATGACATCGGTACAGGTTGGAAAAAATCTGATTTTCTTTTTCTGGCTTGTATTGTATACTATAGCCTTTTAGCTATGAAACGACGCCAAGCAATTCAAATTCGGTTGAGAAATGATGAAACCACGAGGAAAATAAAAACTTCCGTTTTTTTTGTGACCACACGATATATGTATGTTATTCAGAGAGATGCTTTTAATGTCAGAGACGTTGCGGGAATTGGCCTTTATTGTGCCTCTTTTAAATATTACAATGTAATGTTTTTGATGGTTAATATTATATAAATCTATCAGGAATCACATAAAATCAATGACACTTCATAACGTATATTTAATGTTACTCAATACATTTGGACAATATTTTATATTAACATTCTAATTATTTTCTAGGAATTTTTAGGTCATGAATATTTTGTCTGGAATCAAGACAATCATGTAAATGATCTTCCTTACTGAAATTCTGAAAAGTAATAGGTAAATAAATAGCTATACGAGTTTTTGGAAGTTAATTTTCTGACTTATTTCGAAATTCAATGTTCTTCTTCTAGCTATGATCGATATTATATAACTCACCCATTATTTTTGTAATTCGTGAAATATGAAGATTGAAGTAATGAGAATCTTTTTCTTGGCATCCCCACAGATTTCGAGAAAATAAATTTTGAAAAAATCATCATGCATTTCTTTCACCCCTTGTATAATCAGAACCCGATGTTGTACGTTCATGCATTGTCGATCTAAATGAAAACCTAGTAGGCGACCTAGTGCGAGGAGCAGGTAATGGCGTTGATTGATATATTACGCTTAATTTCCACCACTGCAATTCAATCGATCTGAATTATGTATGGAATGTATCATTTTCATGAACACATATCATTGATGGGTTCTGATTGTACAAGGGGAGGAAGAAATGCACGTTGATTTTTTCCAAATTCATTTTCTCGGAATCTGTTAGAGTGACAAGAAAAAGATGCTCACCACTTGAATCTACTCTCGATTCTATATAAAATGTAGTATTTTCATGAACGCACATCATCGGCTCCTGATTATACTAGCGGTGATCGATATAGATGCGTGTTGATTTTTTCAAAATTCTTTTTTCGAAATCTTGGGGGTGACAAGAAAAAGATTCTTTCCACTTCAATGTGCATGGATGCACCTTTACCCAGAAATAATTTTATGACCTGTGTTCTTTCCTATCAATTCACGATGATTAATATACCTACCTATAATAACTACCATTAATAAAATATACTCTATCGTCTACTTCGAATTAACGAGTTTTATAAATGTACACGAAATTGATATTGTTATAATCTCCCGCCAATGATGGAAGTAAGATCTCCCGCCGATCAATTTATCTATATTAACGATCGATCGTAGAAAGTATAGGCAACCAAACCTACACCGCATCGTCTCACGACTGATGTTTGAATTACGTTATCGGGTTAGCTGATTATAATTCCGGGTCAATGCACTTGTTTGGTTATATAGGTATATATTATAGTATATATATCATTATTTCTTCACTTTTTGAATTTTCCAAAGGAAGGAATAGCTAGGAATGCTCGCGAATGTTAATTGTTAGAATTACTATTGAAACACGAATGATTTCAGTTGAATTAATAATTATCTATTGCTTCACACTCAAAGAGTAATCTAATAATGCCACTCTGATGTCACTTCTGCTATCTATGATTCATGATGAAAATAGACCTTATATGATTCATGTTCTTCTGTGACATTTTATATAAAAACTCTATCTTCTAATGGTTATTCCTAATGTGCATCATCATGCACAGGATGGTTCAAGTTAGAGTCATAATATATTGATTTGAAATTAATCACTAGGCAATAATTAGGGATCACCCATAAGGATTGGACGATAATGAGGGCTGAATATAGACTACATCTCTCCCAGCACGGGCAAGGAACTTTTTTTCAATATTTTATTTACGAATTAAATATTGTAAAGTTTCGGAGCCTCGGCTGGGGATAGTCCTGCACGATTCGCTGTTGCGTTCCAATTAACAGTGCTGCTCCTAAAGTGGCGCATGGAGTTAGTAACAAAGCCTACACAGAACACGCAGAAAGATATGATGATGTGATTGTGAGCATCAGAGAAGAAGTAGGACGGTGTATGTAGGTGGGTGTGGAAAACTACCAGCTGAGCGTGAGAGCGGGCCAGCTGCTTAAGTAGACCTCGGTCTCGGGGGTTAACGAGGATAGTTAGCAGGCCTGCCACTGCGCATATGGTAGTGAGTACATTACTAGCCTACAAAACACAGCTGAAAAACTCTGAAAAGAGAGCTGATGGGCGGTGCCTGAAAAAGGATGTTAGCCAGCTCTCTTGAGCGAACCACATCAGTCATTGAAAACACTTGGGGTTTGCAAAAAGGTCCCATTGGGGACTAGTTGCTGACGTGGAAACGTCCCCCACCAGTACCAGTACCAGTAGACTACATCTCAAACTACAATACACATCATATACATATCATTATACAGAGGAGGGCTAACATTTTCACTCTCACCAGCTGGCGCTACTATATAGAACTCGAGGTCTCTGTGTCAAAGTCAAGAATCCCAAAATTTTGCCGGATAGCCCTAAAGACTATGGCCTGTTTTATGGAAAACGAAAAAAATTATCTCCGACATTTGAACAAATAGAAAACCTCGAGCTCTCGTAAGACATGGACTGTGACATGGAGCCGATACTCACGTTTTTTACTCCCAATGTGAAACTTTATGACCAAGATAGGAAGATGCGGAATGTGACAAAAATATAAATAATACTATTTATCTTTTCTAGCAACCCTGACCTTACCTTTCAGTGGCAATTTTTGGTGGACAATAAAAAGATATTAATAAATTTTAGATATTTCTATATTGATGTTTTGGAGCAATGGAAATATTTTTTTCATCAAATATTATGACTTTTTCATTTATATCTATAGGCACAAAAACATGTTGGGAAGTTTCAGTTACCTACTTCATGACTGACCAAACTGTATATACTCATACACACTATTCTGGGGTATTTATTATTGATCATTCACATGAATGAATTCAATAATTATTTGACTCAAACAAACCTAAATACAAATGTTCACTTTACTGAATAAACTGATCCATATTGAGAAAAATTCTATCAGATTCATATTTGAATGGATGAAGTTTATTCATGACTCATATATGTTATGACTTGAGTACTCTACCTATGACATAATATTCAGATTGTAATGGTATTAGAGTTTTATTACTGTATTTTACATTGATCCATATTTCTATATTATGTACCCTGTACTCTGATTTATTGATTTTTTTTTAATATGAAGGAGTTGTCAGAATAATTGAACATACAGCATAAAAATTATCAGGCAATTAAAGTAGCAAGTCCTGCAAATATTCATCCATTTCTTCCTCTCTTGTTTTACATTCAACAGGTTTGTGATTATCCCAAGGTGATTCAGGAATCTGTTTTTGTTCATTGTGTTCATCTTCCATTATTTCTTCATCTCTACTAGATTCTTCATTTACAGTTTTTTCCACAGCATCACTAGTACTGGCACCTCCAGAGGTGTATGTCTCTTCACTATGTTTTTTGTTGCTTTTGCCATGTTTATTTTTCTTCAGACGTTTGACTTCCCTTTTTTTACTGTGATAATTGAGTTTTTTTGAACACTCACTACACAGTCCTAGAAGAATATATACAATTTCAGTAAAGCATGTTGTTGACATTGTAGATTACTCACTGATTTTTACCAGGGCATTTTTCTTCTCTCCCTTTTCTGTATATCCAAAATTCACCTCCCATGTCCTCAAACCATCCTCTTGGAGACATTTCTTATTTCCACAAGAAAATTGTCCTTTTCCACTGACAACTTCTTTTTCAACTCTCCACCGGAGTGCTATCTTTCAAACTCCCCTGAATTAGTAGGTATCACATTGAAAATAAATTAAGCATTACCTTGTTCTCTTTATAAAGGCTGAGATCTCCAATACAATACTCCTTGAATAGTTTGTCATAATATCTCTTTGCAAATTGCTGTTCCCATGAATCCGTCTCATCATCTTCCTCCCAGAGGAATTTGTGGTTTTCTTTTATAACATGATAGTCATTTCTATCCCCAGACTTGTCTCGTTTCAATTTTGAAGTATCACCAGGTCTATTCAGCACATATTCGTTTATAAGAAGTTTGTGAATATCATAGGGATTCAAATAACGCATTTGTGTTCTTAGGCTGGACATTTTTAGAAAGAAAATTGAATAAACAAATGTTAGGTTAAGGACACATGACGTGTTTGACCTTGATCCACAATTGACAGTTTGACATTAAGACAGGGCCGGATTATCCATAAGGCGGACCAGGCAACTGCCTAGGGGCCCCGCACCGACTAGGGTTGTTTATACGTCCATGGACTAGGGCAATCCAATGAATGTTGGAACGAATTGTGTCAAGCTGCCAAAGAGTTATTTGTCCTGGGCAATGTAATTTGTATGCGTTCAAATATTCAAATATATCCCAAGTAGGAACAGAAAATAAAACGAGCTTTCAATTTTATTAGTTTTCTTATCACGTAATTTTTCCACTGATTACAGGCAATAGGTGCTTTTTGTCAAAAATTGAATTGAATGAGGTATATCCATGGTATTATTGGAGAATATATCTTAATTTTTCACAGCAACGACGCAACAACTGACTCACTTGATGAGTTGCAACTTATCAATGGATAATCAATCACTGATAGATAGGTATAATAGCTAATGAGAAATGTTTGAGATGTGATAAATCATTCAAACATTTGAAATTACAACGGCAATGAGCGTTATTTCAGAACGCGCTGTTTTTGTCACGCACTGTTTTGTTACGCGCTATTTCGTTGCCAGAGAGCCGAGTCCCAGGCCGTTACCATCGAGCTTGGGTAACGGTCAGGCATGTGAGGTGATGCTGTACCATCAATTCAAGGTAACCATATGTTGTTACAATATCACACACGAGAGATAGAAGTATACTTCCATCTCTGTTATAACAGGATACCCCAAAGATGTCGATCTGGGGGTCTATTCTCCAGTTTATTTCCCATACGAATTCGATCGTCTATTTCACTTCAATATACATCACATACGTAAGATCATCTTTCTTTATTTTATTCGTATACGATTTGAATTCGAACGGTTCGAGAATAGACCCCCTGATCGACTCGACTTTTGTTTCAAAAATTGAAAAAAGCATAAAAGAAAGGGGAGATGAATTGCCCAGGGGGCCTGATAGGGTCGATCCGGACCTGCATTAAGATAGTATTTCACGTAAGTACTTTGCTCACATAGCTCTTTGTTCTTTGTTTCATTCCAATGGGAGAAGGGATCCCTCTTGCAAAGTTCTCACTGACACTGAATCATAAAGGTCGCAGCCTTGACTCGCTACGTAAAAACGTCTGAGAAGAGGAAGAAGAAATGTCAACGTCAAATAAAACAAAAGTCAAAATACTTAAAATGGTGGAATGTGAAATGGTAAATAAATAAAACGGAGCAAATGTTATACTTTAGTAATAAATTGAAAAATATCCTTCAATTCGTAAAATCTTCATATCAAGATTGAAAATAAACCTGTAAAATATTTTTTTGCATGTGAAAATGTGATTCGGTTGTAAGAAGAGGTGTGAAATTTCAGTAACAAAATAGGATGGCCCCAGTTCCTCTGGAGGGGCTACAAGCTCCTGTAGCAAACCAAATCGCCCAAAGCAACATCGGCGGTCCGCAAGAAGGTAATAGAGGAATGATGTCTCTGGCAATGCTGATTGATTTCATTGTGCAAAGAACTTATCATGAGCTAACTGTTCTGGCTGAGTTGTGAGTAAAAATAAAGTACTTGAAAGTGAGCCAGATAAAACTTTTTTTTCCGTAGGTTACCCCGAAAAACAGATATGGAGCGAAAAATTGAAATTTATAATTTCTCCACAAGAACAAGACAGCTGTTTGTGAGACTTTTAGCTCTAGTGAAATGGGCTAACAGTGCATCAAAAGTTGAAAAATCAGCAGTGAGTTGGTTATTTCCAAAGAGCAATCTCTGTTTCATTGTATATCTTTTCAGAGAATCATGAATTTTTTGGATAAACAGTCCCTCCTTTTTGTTGAAACTGCTGATATGCTAGCTAGAATGGCCAGAGAAACTCTGGTGCAAGCTCGTCTTCCTAATTTCCATATACCAGCAGCAGTGGAAGTACTTACCACTGGTACTTATGGGCGCTTGCCAGCTTGTATCAGGGAAAAAATTGTGCCACCAGATCCAATCACACCCTCTGAAAAAAGAAATACCCTCTTGAAATTGAATCAGGTCATACAGCATCGCCTGGTTACTGGGAATTTGCTTCCCCAAATGAAGAATTTGAAGGTGACTTGTGATTGAAATCATTGCTTTGGTGTATTGTGAGGTGTATTGGTAGGGTCATTTCATGTTTGATCAGTTATTCAAGTAGCAAGTACATTCTAAAATATTACTGCTAATGAGATATGAAAACTAGTGGGTGAAGGCCTTCATCTTATCTTGGGGTAAATTAAATATAATTATGAGTAGAATTGTCAAAACAGTTCCCACATTTTTAGTTTTCAAAATAATTCCATATTGATGAATGAATCAACAAAACCCTTGAAAGTGTTTAAACAGTTTTTCTCTGTGAATGACAACAATATATTCTTCCAGATTGAAAATGGTAGAGTAACATTTCATGTAAAACATGAATTTGAAGTTTCTTTGACTGTGATGGGAGATGGTCCCAACATACCATGGAGGTTACTGGAAATTGACATTTTAGTTGAAGACAAGGAAACAGGAGGTAATTGATTTAATTTTTTTCTTTGGAAGATTTCAATTCTTAATCTAAATATAGAATTATTTAAATTAAGTTTTGTGTGCAATACAATGGGGTGAAATTTTTGTACACTTGAATGAACCATCTCATGAACTCATCAAATTATTCAAACAGTATAATAGATAGCTAGATAGATAGATAGATAGATAATCTTTATTTGTTCTTTGAATTCAGAGCCTAAAGCTAGGCATAGAACAATACATAATAGATAGGTACACAAAAAATAACATAAGAATATAAAATAATGATAGTACATATAAAATACAGAAATATTACAAAAGTGTATGTAGGACATCAGTTTAGTTCACAGACATAAAAATAACACATGATGTAGATATAATAAAATTGAATCTATAGTTGCCAACTGTCAGAGAAATACTTTTCAGTTTGAGTTTGAGTTTTTTTGGAAGCAATAATATGAGCCATTTTGGTAGCTTATTATAAATTTGTATCACAGTAAATGGTATATTTTTTTGAACATATGTGAAGTTAGTTTTCATATTCAATAAGTGATACTTGTGTCTCCTATGATGTTCATGATCATCAAATCAAATCAAAACTGAGCTTTATTGTCCAAGAAACATTCTTCCTATTGACAAAGCTTGAAACTAGCAAGTGGATAGATCCACTATCTCCAATTATTTGTTCAAAGATATAAAAGATATGAACATTAAATATAGTTAATAAATAACACAAATACAAGGGTATAAAACAACTACAAAAAAGCCCTGAAAGCATAACATTTATATCACATACAATGCCAACTAGGTACCTAACAGGTACCTAACATGATGATCTCTAGTATATCCTGCATATAAGTCCATGTTTTCAGCAACAAACATTACTGACTCATATATTATGAGACATATCAGAGTCATTATTTTCTTTCCTTTAAATGAAGGTTTACAGCTATCAGTCATTTTCTTGTTAAATATTCATTTTATGCATCTCTTTTGTAATATAAAGATTTGAGTTGCTGTACTACTAAAACCCCAAAATATTATACCATACCTGATACTGATAAGGTGAGATGGGTAAATAGTTTTTGTAAAATGAAAAGTACATTGAATCAAATTGTTCTGAATAAAAGGGAAATTTTTGTCAAAATAGGTACTTTAATATCATTCCACCAAACTATAATTTCTCAAGAAATCTCAGATCATCATCAAGAAATAATAAATATTCGAATGGGTTGTCTAAAGGATGACAAGAAATCCAAAAATGATAGGAAATCCCAAATAATTCCAATTCCAAAGAATGGCAATATATTTTCAAGAGAAAAAAAGAAAATCTGAAGGACTTCAAGGACTTTCATAGAATTATTAGAACTTCCAAAACATGCATTTAATTCCAAAGCATTGCAAGAGATGCAACAAATCCCTAGGAATCTTGGAACATTTCAATGCAGGGATATCAAATTTTCAAGAAATTCCCAATTCCTAAGAATTCCAAGAAGGAAATAACAATAACTGTCTTTGATCTGAACTCATTCTCCACCTTGTGTTTCTTCTTGGTGAAAAAATAAAGTTTTATTATGTTTGAAACATTCCAAATAACATTCCATTCCTGATGATTCACCATTTGAACCTTCCTGCTGATCCAAAAAAAATTCCAGATGGAAAAGCCCTTGTGCATTCTCTGCAAGTGCAATACATCCATCAATTGGTGCAAAGTCGACTGGTCGACAATCATCAACCGCTGACGGAGGTGTACAATTGCCTCCATTTCTTCTGTCAATCATTGCAATTGGAAGTTCTCTATTCCCAGACTTTGCGCCTGATGAGAGACAGATTGGATGATCACATACATGTCGACGAATATGTGCCCGGCAAATGTTTGACAGTGTCATATTGGAGGTAAATGTTGATCAGAAAATGAGTGACATTGGGATTTTTATGCTTCCACGAAGTTTAGTAAACTCATTATACACATGTTTCAAGTTTCCATCATACCTAATTCACCTACTTCTTCCAAACATTCAAAATAACCTCCAAAATAACCAGTAACTGGCCAAACCAGTATCATTGTCAAATCATCACTTATCATGGATACCTCACTTATCATTTATAATTTATCAACAGTGAAAACACAAGAGCTTTTTTTTAGATAAATTTCTCTTAGTCATGAAAAACATTTGACGATCAGTAATTTTACAAGAAAAACTGATGAAAAATGTTTGAGTTAGTAAGGAAGTTCATCCAATTGAAATTCTGTGTAGCTGGTAGTTTGCCGAATTGATTTTATCATATTTTCGTGGTTTCTTCAGACGAAATTTTCCTAAAACGGCTCATCTTGTTAATTTACGCGTGAACCATACCCATCAATCAAACTTGACACGACAGAAATTGGAGTGACATCAGGCGCAAATACCTACTAGATCAAAGCAGCAGGCAGTTTATCAGGGACTATTCCACTCTTGATCTCGAGAACCAATCAGAATCGACCATTTTCATGGTTTCTTCTGTATTCTAGTGATATTTTTTGTTTATTAAATTTTATCGGACTTGCTCTACCAATACAGAAGCCGAATTGACCCACACGTGACCAACTAACCTCGTTTATCAGCGATAAAATTTTGACATCGTGTCTGGTCAAGATTGCTTTGGATTCAAATCTGAGACAATAAGTTCCTACTTTATTTTATTTACTTATAATTCGCGTTAGTGACATATTTTGTACGAAAGGCGAGACAATTTTATTCTGGCTGGACGTTTCATGTGTAATTTAAAAAGTTTGCATATTTGTTGACGGTCTGACACAACAATAATAGAAATCAAATTCCTTTTTGATGTAATCTTCTTCAATTACTCTAGTTATTGTTACTGACTGTTATATTTGCTAGCTGATGTAGCGCAACTGTTAGGGTTGTCGATGGTTCGAGCCCTCGGCGACGATATCTTTTTTTTTAATCATTCCATGTCACATAAATTCAATTTATTTTGTTTCAATTGGATAGTAATTGTATACACTCTTTTGAGAGCAACCATCTCCAAGATAATAAAAAAATACTGTTTATCAAAATTGTACATTCCACTTTGTGAATAACTATAAGTAGGTAGTTAATTTCTAAAAAAGTGAATTCTGTATTTCATTACTATCATTATGTTCTCCTTGGCAGTTCGAGTTGATATATACTTAAATTATGTTTCCTATTTCTTATATATATTGTCTCATTCAATCATGAAATAGTCATACGAATATAACTCGTGATACTATTTTTCCTGGAAATATTCGTCGATTGACATACTCCAGCTTGCTGCTCTAGTTTCGCTCATGACATTGATCCAAAACTACTCGCCTATGGCTCGTAGTTTTGATAACAATGTCATTCACGAAAAAACTACGCAACAAGCTGTCGTAACAATCACCGAATATTTCCGGCAAAATATTATCACTTGTGGCATTATATATGATAAAAAAGGTGCATCTTTTTTTATCTATATGTCAAAAAGACTCTCGTCGTTGTCAAATAGCGTTTTCCGTCTAGGAGTTGATTTATCAATTCTAAAAACATGAGCTTTTTTCTATTGGAAAAACTTCTTTGCCTAACGAGAAAACATTCATCAATCAGTTAATTTACAAGAAAAACTGACATGAAGTAATTGCAAGGCTGTAGGTTCTAAAACGGCTCATCTTGCTAATTCACGCGTGAACAATATTTAGCAATCAAACTTGACAGGACCGAAATTAGAGTGACATCACAGGATGAAGTATGATTTTGAGGAAAAGGCATTTTTACAGAGATAAAAGGTGCATCATTTTTTATCAATGTCAAAATGACTGACGTCATCCTAAAATGGCGTTTTATGTAGAGGAGTTGATTTATCACTTATAAATCTTATTTCATAACCACTGAACATTCGAAGTAACCACCAACTGACTGAAACAATATCATTATCAATTCATCACTCAATGTCACTCATAATTCATGGCTTATGGTAGATCACTCATAATTCATCTGTTATTATTATTATTATTATATTAAATTATTGTTATTGTTGTTATTCCTAATATTCCTCCAAACATGGTTCATTATTCATAATTTTCTGGAGATCACTAATCACCTATAGTTTATCATTCAAATGTATAGCAAGTAAAATGTCAATTGCAGATTTTGTTTAACTTGAATATTGTTGTGTCTTGATATTTCAGGGAATTGACCAGCAAAGGCAAAGAACAAATGAACAAAGACCTAAGATCCGAATTAGGTTATAGATTGTCAGTGCAAGTTGACGTGCATGACTCAGCTAGGCCTTTGGCTGTTGTTCATATACCATCTCTAGGTAACAAGGTTAGTAATACAGTTTTCAGTCTTCCAAAAACAATGACAAGATGCAAACTGTTTTGGCAACTAAAGTTTTATTCCATTCGTCTGATGTTTCAGTCTGCAAGGTTTTTCATTCGATTTAAAAGTTTTTTTCTTTTGTTTCACATCATATGCGGATTAGTTGTTGAATAGGTATTTGTATATTTAGTGTGCAAAGTGATAGATTGTGGCTCAACTTCACGTCGCGCGGTAATCTTTGGTGAGCGGCAATAACACAGTGGTTTGTGCTCAAAATATACACAAGATATTCTTCTACAAACGCAGCTCTCTTGATTAGGCGCTAATTATAAGGGTATTGCTATTATTTTCTATGATGTGAAATCCGAGGTGAAAACATTCGTTATTCGAATTTACCGCCAATATCAGTGACTTGAACTTACCGCTATTGCCAAATCGCTCTGATTGGTCTATAGGAATCGCCTATGCATATGTTTGGGATTACGGATTCCTGCCACTGAACTCTGCCGGGTGTATACAGTGCTAGTCAAAAGTCCCCTCCCCCTCTCGTATCTTTTGAACGGGTATACTTATAATAATGAAATTTGGAGGGTGGAAATAAACTATTGCGTCACCTGTTATGACCAGTTGAGAAGCCTACGTCCGTTTATTTCCACCCTCCAAATTTCATTATTATAAGTATACCCGTTCAAAAGATACGAGGGGGGGAGGGGACTTTTGACTAGCACAGTATATACTTCCATGCCCGGCTATTGGCCTAACAGCCAAAAGTGGGCGGGGCTTGCCGATTTACCCGACCAAGCTGAACGAGGAGGTTTTTTGTTTTTTCAAATTCTATTTTTCTCCAAAGACACAACACTTACCACTGAAGACGATTGAATAACTCCCCCACCCCTTGGGTATCCCCAGTGAGATTACCTATATAAAGGGTTCAGCCCCAAGAGATAGGCCTCTGTGATGAACACCTCGCATATGCATTCACATTCCTTTGGCCAACACCAGCCACCTTTGTTTCACCCGGAAGATTTACTCGAACATGTACATAAAATCTTTATTTATACAATGTGGATGTGCTATGATAATATTAGGAAGAGAAAGAATAAACAACTTTAGAACCATATTGTAATGTTGTCATTACTAACTAACGTCATTGAAGGTTGGGAAGTGTCACTTTACACACCTCTACTTCTCGTCCTCACTTCCCGCCCACACTCATGTAATATTTTAGGTAAGTTCAGAACAAAACAAATTATTAATTTTAATCGAAATATGATGGATGTAAATCTCACGACAAGAATGAATCACTTCCCACCTTGGTGTGTAATATACTATTAATACGTGCGACACGCCGGCGACTCGGGTTCGATCCCATGCAAGGGTCGACGTTTTTATTTTGTTCTCAAGTGATTTTCGGAAAAATACACCTTTTAGGAAAAAAGTTCATTTAGGCCGAGTTAGGTTAGATTGCTTGGGAAAAATAGTCTAATCTTTCATGTAGAAACGACATTATTTCCTTTTCATCTTCTTTTTGGTTTGGCTATCTATAAAAATGTGTTTCTTTAGTTGTTTCATAATCTCCTACCTCGTTAACCCCCAGATACCAACTTTGAATAGAATCGGATCATATAATTACATGACTCGTCCACCATATTGGATCCTCCATCTTGAATTTTTCAATTTTGACGGAAGAATCAATATCTCCGACCTCAAAAACCCCCAGATACCAAATTTGAATAGAATCGGATCATAATCACAAAACTCTTTCGCCATATTGGATCCACCATCATTAATTTCAAAATTTTGTTGAAAGAATCATAATCTCCGACCCCGAAAATCCCTAGATACCAATTTTGAATATAATCGGATCATGATAACAAAACTCGTCCGCCATTTTTAAGCCGCCATTTTGTGTTTTTGTCTAACAAAAATGTTATAATTTCAAATCAAGGTCAAAATTGAGTCCAAAGGAGACGGTTACATATCTACATACATACAGATGAAGCTGATAAAAGGGTGTTAAAAAGGAAAAATCAGTTCTCTCGCCTATTTATCTACCTACAGAGGGTGTACATTCCATGCAAACATGTGTGCTAACCTCTTTCGTTTTCGAAGGTTTTTCTAAATGTTCATTGACATACACAATTTGTAGGAGAGTGAGATTGCAGATAGAGCTATCAGGTCTGAGGTGTTATCCATGGAAAGACTGCTAGTTCACACTATCTACGTGAGAACCCGTAGCAGATTGAACGACATCAAGCTGGAGATGCAAGGGATGCTCAAAGATGTAGAATGTACGCTCACAAAAATTGAAATATCTGAGATTTATCTGAGTATCTTCTCGTTTTCGAACTTTTTTGTTTTTAGGTAATTTACAAGGTTCACCGGCTATCTTATCAGTGGCGATTCTTCAACCCTGTCTGAGGGCTGAGCAATTACTGATCACAGTCGACACGCATACGGGGATGTTGCAATGTCACGTGCCCCAATACGAGCCGACTTTGATACCGGAACTGAATAATACGCTAAACGGAGATCATGCTAAATTACCGACGTTGATTACTGAATTGCGGTAATATTCCTCATTGTTGATTATAAATTATGATTCAGTATTGAATTATCTTTCCAACAATATATTCGAACTTTTTTTCCACTATTGACTAGAAAAATTGACAAAATCATTCTTCTGATTCAACATCAAACACAAAATGATGAATTTTTCAAGTTTTTCCGTCTTCATCTAGTACCATTATCAACGTTTTCTAGGTTTTAATTACGCAATGTTGAGTTCCTAATGCCTGTGTTTTGATTCTTATAAATTACGTGTACTACTTCATTTGTTTTTTTTTAATATATCAAACTTCAAATGCAAGATGTTCCTGGAACGTAGTTTTTATGGGTCTTCTAGATTGGCCTATATATTGTGTCTACTTTGATTCCTCGATTGTCTTATGAATCCTTTTTTTTTTCATCTTATTATGGCATGAAGTCAGGCTGGGAAGTTTCTAATTCAAATTTTCATTCATTTTCATTTGTTGTGTGACATGATTATCAACCATTTTTCATAAATTGACATGAACATTATCAAAAGGTAAATGAATAGTATAGTAGATATCATCAAATACGTCGATGAATCTTCGATATAAATTATATTCCTCAACTCGAAGTTTTATTATTTATTATTAATTATATTTACATCTTACTATAGCAACATAACTCATTCAAAATAAGAGATAAACTGATATGGATAATACAGCTTTCACACATTTCAAAGCATTCAATAAGTCGACTTTATTTTTCATGTCCTTATTCGAAATTTGCCTTTGGATATGATATGGCAAGCCAAGAAGTATTAAAGCCAATGTGGATTCCTCTGCCATTTTCGAATCAGCCCAAGACAATAATCTGTGTTTTTTAAAATAATATTCAATGATTGATCCATATTTGAATTAGAAATTCAAAGCTTTTTCCCATTTAGATATAGTTTCATCGAAAGTTGATATAAAACTATTTTTCCACTCTTGCCAACTATCCATATTATTCAAATTCGTTTTGAATCTATTATCATACTATTTCAATGCACTTCCGTCATCAAATACTCCGATGAATGTTCGATATAAATTATATTCCTCAACTCAAAGATTCATTATTTTTTTATCAATTATATTTACATCTTACTATAGCAACATAACATGAACTGATATCGATAATACAGAGTCCTATCCTACAAATAGATGATTGTTGCTTTCAAGATTTTGGATAACCCAACGGAGATGTGAGAAAACGTTGCAGCATTTACCAGCTACTGCTTATGAGAGGTTGCCACTCTTACACCAACCCGATCACTCTATTGTGAAAATCGGTAAACATAAGATCTATGTCCAGTTACATAGGCACCCCAATGTTATTTTGGTAAGATTCTGAAAAAAAAACCTTTTAATCATTTTCAAAAAATATAAAAATTACATTTATCTTCATTGGACATATTTTCCATTCATAGATGCGCAAATTATTATTTTAAGGATAATTGGTAATTTTGCTTTTATCATGCCAATGGTTATTTTCCGAAAATTTGTTTTGTTACCTTCATATTTTTGTCTAAAAAATCAGGAATTTGATAATGAAAATGTGAAAAAAACCATTATTTATCAAGATATTTCACTATAAAGTTACAAATCTCACCTTCTTTCCGCCTGTCTTTTGGATCGCATTTAGAACAATTTGCCCTTCTTTTTTCATCATTAGACAATTTATATATCACAATGGACTTCAATGACACATTTTTCATATATGAAAGTCAACTAGAAATATGATTTTTTTGTGATTCATCAATATTTAGTGAAAATAAGAAGGAATATATCACTTGAAATAATGGCGTGTGTAACCTCATTCAAGAGCAATATGTTGACGTTTGATATCTCGTATTTGAATTGATTATTGATTAAATGGCCGTCATCTGGTATGATTGTTTACTAAATATGAAAAACTCGCCTTGAAAACCATATTTCGTGTTGAATTTTCTATTTGAAAATGTGTAATTGAAGTACATCATAAGTATATAAAGTGTCTCAAGGAAAAAATAAGGAGAGCGTAGCTGTAAATGCAACCAAAACAGAGAAAGAAGGTGAAATTTCGAACTTTTTCTTGAAATATCTGGATGAGTAGTGGTTTATTCACATTTTCATTATCGAATTCGTGTTTTTCAGACAAAAATACGTAGATAACAGAGCATTTTTTTCGAAAAAAAATAAAAACAGCGCATGATAAGTGCAAAATTACCGGCTATTTTTTTTTAGATAGTGGAGCTGAAAGAATTAGAGAACAGTCCTTGCGAAATCGATTGCAATTTTTATTTGGCTGTGGTGAAACATTCAAGCATCGAAGATAATCCCAATGATGATACCATCGAAACTGAAATACCCAAAGTTTATTTGAAAATTCAAACTCTCATTGAATTCGATAGTTTCGTTACCACCCATGGACCGTTTACAAGCATTTCCGGTACGTACTTCAGCTACCTATATCTTTCGCCTGGTCCAACATAAGCCACTTTCTTTTTTATGTTTGACGCACCTGGGCAGCCCAGTGTTTGTTGTTGTTGAACTTGAGCTACTCCCAAATAGATCGCATTTTAGTGAACTTTTACAATGAACACCCCTGCGCATGCGCTCTTATTGTTTACCGTTTGGAAATATTGAAATATCACCAATCTATGTTGATAATGTCTGATTCTGGAGACGAGCATATTATAATTAGGGTTTACGTGCAAGATCTGTCAGATGACCGACCCTGAAGGTAAAACATTGAAACACAACCTCACTTTTCTTATTTGTTTACAAAAAAATTAATCATTCCAGAATTACGTCATTTGACAGGTTGCTGAGGGGCAACCATTATATCTTGTCACGATTTGTCATATAAAACCAGAATTAGTGGGATCGTTTTCCTTGGAATCCGAGATGGAACCAGAAAGAATTTCATAATTTTGTTTGGTGAAACTATTATTATATTGTGGATGTGGCAGGGACGGCCAGAGCAATGCTCATCAAAGGTAACCTAACAGATAGTTTGTGTGCCCCTCAAGAAACCATGTCAAAATCACGTGTTCTAGAATGATCAATTGAAATAATTTTGGAATACAAATCGTGTTTTACGGTTCCAATATTTTACCTCCACGGTCAGTCATCGTGCACGCGACCAATAGAACATTGAAACACAATCTCATTTTTTCTATTTGTTTATAGAGAAATCAAAGGATTGAAATAGTTATTCACTATATTTTGGCATACGAATCGTGTTTTTTGCGCTATTCTTTAATTCAAGCATGCCTTCTCATTGTGCTGTTGTACAATGCACAAAAAATGTAGCGAGAGACGAAGAAATATGATTTTTCAGGTAAATAGTAATCTCACATTGTTTTCATTATGAAATTTTGTCATTTATTATTAAAATTCCTTCTGCCACTTCTTCAATAGAAGGTAATACTGGTAATAGTTTGAAAATGTCTACAACACACACGATCATATTTCGTCAGCATGTCAGACCAGTCCTTCCGTTTGATGGCATGAATCCAACTTTCTTGCATTATTTTAAGAATTTCACGAGTATTTCTATTAGTTCCTATTGCATAAGGAATTCTGATGAGAAATCAGAGAAATGACCAAATTTCAAAAATGAAAACTATGTGAGTGACTATAGTAGGTACTCACTTTTAAATCATAACGTACCAATCGAATTCCTTCGTCTCTCGCTGCATTTTTTGTGCATATGACAACAGCACAATACGATGGCATGTGCGAATTAAAGAATTGCCGAAAAACACGATTTGTATTCCAAAATAATTGTGAAAAACTACTTCAATCACTTGTGAACAAATAAGGAAAGTGATGTTGTGTTTCAATGTTTCACCTCCGGGGTCAGTCATCTGACAGTTCATGCACGCAACCCATGTGATGGCATGCTTGAATTAATGGATAGTCAAAAAGCACGATTTGTATGCCAAAATATTGTGAAAAACTATTTAAATCCTTTGATTCCTTAGAAAAGTAGGGTTGTGTTTCAATGTTTTACAGAAAAGTGAGGTTGTGTTTCAATGTTTTACCTCCAGGGTCGGTCATCGTGCACGCGACCGTGAGTTGAACCATCCTGGTACATGAAAATAAAAGATAATCTTTGATAATAACCAAAAATAGCTTGTTACTTGACAGTGACAGAGGGGTAGGAGAAGGTAAATGGTGTAGCATGGTGAAGCATTGGGGCTTCAAGCACTAACAAAAAGAAAGCGTTTCTGCCTATTTTTCATGCTGTGGAGTAGATCCGGTGCTACCCACACAGTCAAATAGTCAAATAGAAAGTGGCTAAATAGGTTGTCTCCAAATATAAAATGAAAAATTAAAGCGTAGATTTTTTGGTATAGATCTAAGGCAGGTGTTGAATACTGCAATTTCTGGTGTTCTACAGCTGCCTAAGAACCTATACTTTTCGAAAACTGACAAAGATTTTTAGATTTACGATGCTTTTTTGCATTTTCTACTACTAGATTCTGAATGCCCATGCAAAATACTTCATATTTGCCCATTTGAACGTATTAGTACGATAAAACTAGACATAAACCCAAACATTCGAAAAAAAAATTGTCCCGTCTACATCCCTTAGCACGTAGTAAAAAGTTACACCCCACCGAGCGTCGGGTTTAGGTGGGGAAAGGGTGAAAAGTCGGAAATTCCATTTTTTCGCAGGTTTTTGCCTATATATGTCTTGAAAACTATGAGATTTAGTGCAAAAGTCACGCTATACGAAAATGATCTACATTGAATATTGAAGGAAAAAGTTATCTACAACTTTTTTGATGAATGAACGGTTATGGAGATATGAAGGGGCAAAAATTACATTATCTCCAGTTTGGCAACAAGGCTGAAGAAAATTATGAAATCGTATTCCAGCATGCGTGTTTGGAATGAACTCCTAACGGTACCAGAAAGGGCCCAGTTGCGATATTTTTATAAATTTATAGGGAGGGGGAAATAATTCAAATATTTAATATTCAAATAATATTTTTAAATAATATATATATTCACGGTAATACATTTTCAATTAGTAGTACTTCGAGAATCTTGAAATGAAATGTATATTCACTATGTATATGATGTATCTCAATAACACCGAGAAAAATCAAGGGGTGATTCTGTGATGCAAATGAAGGTGGATATTTGGTATACATGTTTTTGATTAATCTCATACCAAAAAAGTTACAAAGTTATACTCCTCAGAAGAATAAAGAACAAAATTTTTTTATTTAATTTTCCCTGTATATTAAGCGAAAGACACAAATCTTGGTAAATACTATTTATTGTCGATGAAACTAAACATTTTGAAATGTTTCCAACCCTGAAATATGTTTAGAAGGGGTTGAAATATTCAACCCCCAACATAATTCTTCTTACTACGTTTTTATGAAAACTGGTCTTTCAAAAAAATTCGGCTGGAAGCCCAATTTATTCACCAACTTTTTAATTTCCAAATGTTTCTTCGAAAACTCAAGCATTTAAGCATTTGCCATGTTTTTTTTTAAAGAAACATTTCTATCCAAAAAAAAGTCAACTTTTCCCCTCCATATCTCCGTAATCGTTCATTCAACAAAAAAGTTGTGGAGAACTATTTTTTTCAGAATCCAATATAGATCATGTTCCTGTGGGGTGACCTTTGCTCTAAACCTCATAGTTTTCAAAATATAGACGAAAAACTGCGAAAAAACGAAATTTTCCGTCTTCTTAACTTCCCCCCACCCAAACTTTTTACCACGTGTTAAGGCCGGGAAGAAGACTGATCAATTTGGCGCCGGGATCAACTTTTCCTTTTGATGTTTCGGTTTGAGTAATTTTTGAGCTAGTTTTATCGTACTATATCTGTAAGACCAATTTGAACTAAGATAGTTTTTGAGTGAAATATAAACAATCACCCTGTGCATGTGAGTGGGAGAGAGGAAGAGTATGTGATTCAGAGAGAAATGTATTTATCGAAATTTTCTAGGGATGCCTGATTCAGACCATACAGAGCCCAACAGTTTGAAGAGAAAAGGTGGCCAAAAAACAGAATCGGCCACCAGAAGATCCAAACAACCCGCCTATTTCGTATCGGAATTGGCTCACGTTGTGGCGATGTGCGATGAAAGGCTGCCATTTGTTCCTCTAGCAACTGAGGTACCTAATTAATTTTTTTCCATGTTTTTCGAGCTTTGTTATTTTATTCTTCATTGACGAATTTAGAGTATTTCAATAAAATAACTAGGAACTACAAAAATCAAGCTCTCATCAAAAACATTTATTAAGACAAGCTTTTATAATCATGCACTAAAAATAAAATATTGTGAAAATATCCAACAATAAAAGCCACCACACATCAATTTTGAATATATTCGGATCATAGTCACAAAACTCATCCGCCATTTCTGAGCCGCCATCTTGAATCTCTCAATTCGGAAGGAAGAATCATAATTTCCGACCGAGAGTTATACGATCAGAACTGTTTCATATTTGACTTGCAATATTTGATAACACAGATAGACAGGTGAAAGTGAGTAAAAAATGAAAGCTTCTGAAAACAATACGAATCGGTTTTATATGTAATTCTTCATCGCCTGAATTCCAACCAAAATAAAAATTCATGGCATAAATCATATTATTAATGTTGAAAACTACCGGGGCTTCAACAATGACTAAACACCACGTCACCAAATTCTTATACAACCAACAATACATTTTTGTTATCATGTTTACTCAAGTAACATCGTCATATATGTCATATTCGCACCTTGTATCATTCATGGCTGTAGTTTCCAGTGTTTACGTTATGTGGTTCACGTCCTTCGCAATTTGATTGGTCCGTTAACTTGTCAACTGTCATAGCAGCCAATAGCTTGCCGTTTACAACAATTAAAAACAGGAAAGTTGGATTGTGAATCTGTCTCTTCAGTTTTGTGGTTTAGAAATTTATACTGCACAGCATCAGCTCATTATCATCCAGTATGCGATTCACGAAAAGTACATCCATATATTGAACAAGTCGAAGCCCTGAGTCAGTGCAACTGATGAGACTTATGGCAAGTCGAAACAGTCTGTCTTGCATCAGCTGACAATCGATTCACGAAATTTTCCCTAGAATCTCTTAGTCTTGAGATTCTAGGTATATCACCATCTGTTAGTGGAACATTAAGCCACTTTGAGAATCACAGGTGTTGCGATAGTCTACAGAATTCTGACACGGTGTCTTTTCTGTAAGCATATAGACGTAGGGGTCTATATGCACGACTTACTCGCAAGGTATGATTGATAAATCTACCTATACACCTTTGTAATTCAGCCACTAGATGGCTATGAAGGCTAGATCGTCCTTCTGCCCCCTCAGGGCTTCGACTTGTACAATAATATTCATTCGTCAGTCGCCCCCCCTCCCCTACACCGGCTTCCTGGATCCGCCCTTGAGTTCGATGCTTTTCTATCGCATCTTTTGCTTCTGACAGTTGACGAAGAAAAACGTCTTCCATCAAGGGGTGCAAGTGGAAGCGAACGCCACCGGGCTGGTGCTCAAACTCATCCAATTGCCGGCGCCCACCAAGGAGATCGGCGTGTCCACCGCTTGGCACGCCCTGCTGAAGAGGCTGCTGTCCGTGTCCATAAGGGTGCTGAGCAAGGGCGTGCTGAAGAGCTGGATGGTCGAGTTCGTCTTCTATTCCACGCCCTTGTCCAGCACGCATCCCAAAGAACAAGGTGATTATTTTTATGGGTGATTAAGTACTGTAACATGCAGTTTATCTACAACTGTCGAGTAATGATTATGATTTGACACTTTTTTTGATGTCATAATGACGTAATTACTACACTACACTACTACACTAGTGCGGTAATGAGATAAGAAATAACGGACCTTGCACCATTTACATTGAAATCTTGTTTGCGGTAAAATTTTGTGAAAATTCAGGATTGGATAGATAAAATCATACTGAACAAGAAATGTCCTTTGGTCCAAGGTCCGTTATGCCCGTTAAAAAAAGTTATTAGCTCTTGAAGCCAAACGAGATAACCTGCTCTATCAGAACAGCACATCCTGTGTTTAATATGGTTGCGCTGGAGCGCTCGTTTTATTTAAGCTTTCCGCGATAGGCGAAAGCTGTCATGTGAACGCGCCATTACGCGTGAACTATACCCAACAATCAAACTTAACACAATAGAAATTGGAGTGAGCTCAGTTGCATACCTACTTGATGAAGTATGGTTTTGAGGAACAGGCAGTTTTACAGTCATTAAAAAGATGCATCCTTTTTTATCGATGTCAAAATGACTGTGTGTCATGTTAATTATTATTTTCGATAAATATCACAGAATAGTATCTGTTAAAATCGCTGAAGACAGATTTTTGATGACAGCATTTTACTGTCTACAAAAAAAACTTTGGACATAGTAAAGTAAGTAATGCGATTCAAATAATAATAATGATAATAATAATAATAATAATAAATCGGCTTTATTAACGGACTGGATACAAATTCTTAGTGTGCAACACTAATTTTGGCGAAGTCTAGCTGATATCTACTCATACTCAACCAAATTAGGTCACAGGATGTACTTAATATACATATACACATGTTACAATACAATGAGAAATCGTGAAACAAAACAAAAAAAAATCAATCTGAATTGCAGAAATACTTCTTAAGCTGGCCTGTTCCTCCAGAGGCGTGGGTGAATATGTGTTCATTGTTTAGTAAAAAGAAACTGATTGTATTTGTATTTGAATTTATTTATATTTAGAAGTTTAAACTCTTCAGGTAAAAGGTTATAAAGATGAATCGAATTGAATACAAATGATCTCTGAAACATGAAAGTGCGATGATGAGGCATAGTTAATATGTTTATTTCTCTGATGTTCCTTGAGTGTACTCTGATACGTGGAATCAACTTGCTTTTTAAAGGGAATGATTGTGGCATATTCATCAGTTTTGAAACAAAGGTAGCTAGGTGATGATTTCTTCGATTAGTCATATTCAACCATTTGGTTTCCTTGAATTTTCGAGAAATAGATTCATATTTCCTGATGCCATAGATCAAACGACAGCATGAGTTTTGTACATTTTGTATACGATTTTTATCGAATGAAAGTAGACATGGGCCGTATATAAAATCACAATAATTGAAGTGACTTAATACCAGTGAATCACATAACATTTTCTTCAATTTTACACTCATGATATGACGGTTACAGTATAAAAATTTCAGTGATAAATAAGCTTTCTTCATCAAATTCTTGACATGTTCTGAGAATCTGAGCTCTGCATCGAGCTGGATGCCTTAATTTCTCGTTGACTCTACAATGTTCAAAATATGACCTTCAATATTAACATGCAAGTTTTCACTGATCGTATTTCTTTTGGCATGTGTACCAAAAGACATCAGAGTTGTTTTTACAGAATTGAGTTGTAGATCATGTTTTTTCGACAAATTCTTGATTGTTTCAAGATCCCGATTAATGACAATTTGCACATTCATATAATCATCGATATCGAAGTGTGTATAAAGTTGTATATCGTCGGCATAGGCTTGTACTTTGCAAAACTCAACAGAAGTAAGTATATCAGCAGTATAGATGATGAAGATGAGCGGTCCAAGAATAGATCCTTGGGGAACCCCTGAGAAGATATCCAAGGATGAAGAATACTCATTATTTATAGAAACCCGTTGTGACCTGCCTAACAAATAAGACCATAAAAGAAATGCCGCATCATCATCAAAATCATAATAGCGCAGTTTAGCACAAATCAGTTCATGATTTATGGTATCGAAGGCTTTCGAAAAATCTAATAGCACAAGCAAGCTAGCCAGACCCTTATCTAATGATTCGATGATATCCGTTGTAACCATTGTCAGTGCCGTACCCTCGGCCGTACCAGTGCTATACCCCTTTCTGAAACCATACTGCGAATCAGGTATCAACTTTTTCATTGTAAAGTATTCAAATATTTGATTATAAATGATTCTTTCAAAAATTTTAGACATAGCTGGTAAGATACTGATAATTCTCAAATCAGAAAAGCTCGAAGGATCACGTTTTTTGGGAATCGCAGTTACAACTACTATTCAGTAATAATTATCTGCAATAAGAATTCACATGGAACGCTCCTCATTTGCTTGGAACATGAAAGAATGATCTGTGATAGGAATCAATTTTTTTTATAAAAGTTCAAATATCTCGAAAACCTTCAGGTTTTGACTGAGATCAAGTTGTGGAATATGATTCATGGTTGACTGGACACCCTGTGTATTTTTTTTATTATTTTTTTGAACCTATAGATGGTAGCATTTTGTACCTTTAACAGATGCTGAAAGTCTACGTGCGGTAAAGTATCACTTCCCAAACTTATTAGGTAAATAATTGTTGTCCAGGCTTCCGATTTCATTCCTGAAACTTTGGTCATGATTTTTTCTTTCATTTTAGGTTCGAGGAGGCCAATTTATTTTCAGTATGATATGCTGACGCTCGATAATACCAGCAAAACGGCAGACGCTTTGATAAACGATTGGGATCAAATAGTCCATTTGTATACACTCGTACACGATTTAAGTGAATATTTGAAAATCGGTAAGGAATTGTTGGTGGTTATTCGTGCAACAAGTGCGATTTTTTCAAGTAGTAAAGAAGCAATAAGTGTCATTCAACACGTAATATATAGTAGTTTAAAATACTAAGGAAACTAGCTTTTATAGATAACCACACTCAAACGAAGTAGAAGATGAAATATAAAAGTGTGTTGAAAGATGCACAACATTGAAAATATTAGCACTTTCATAATCAGTATCATTGTTTGATTTTTTTACTTCTCAGATTGGTTATCTATAAAAGCGTGCTTCTTCAGTTTTTCAAACTATCTGTTTTCTATTTTTCAGTTGAGCTAACTACAAAGCGTGTTTTTTATTAGTGGTTTCTATATTTTTTGTGAGTACCAAATTTTGACGACACAATGAAAATTTGCGACCCAGAAAAACCCCAGATACCAATTTTGAATGGAATCGGATCATGATTACAAAGATCTTCCGACATATTAGATCTGCCTTATCGAATTTCCCAATTTTGACGAAAGAAACATAACTTCCGATCCCGAAAACTCCTAGTTACCAATTTTGAATAGAATCGGATCATAATTACAAAACATCTCGTTCGCCATATTGGATCCGCCATCTCGAATTTTCAATTTAGACAAAAGCATCATAATCACCGACCCTGAAAACGCCCAGATTCAATTTTGAATAGAATCGGGTCATAATTAAAAAACTCGTCCGCCATATTGGATCCGCCATCTTGAATTTTCCAATTTTGACGAAATAATTATAATTTCCGACCCGTAGAACCCCCAGATACCAATTTTGAATAGGATCGGATCATTATTACAATACTCGTCCACCATATTGCATCCGCCATTTTTTTTGTCTAACAAACATTTCATGATGCATTGTCGTCAGAATAGAGCAGTTCAGCTAGCGTTGAGAGAGAAAACATGTCTTCCCCATCTGTCCTTGTCTTCAGTGTTCCAACATAAAATAATGGAAATTTTATGTTGGCAACACTGGAAATGAGAAGAAATGGAGAAGATGACCATTATAACCTTTTTTATATTGAGGTTCAATATTACCAACAAAAAATTTCCATTATTTTACGTTGGAACACTGAAGACAATGACAGATGGGGAATACATTTTTCTCTCTCTCTCAACGCTAGCTGAAATGCCAAATTTCGAATCAATTGGACGTTTGGAAGTGGGTCAAAATCACGTTTTGGAAGACTCCGTTACAATCAAACAAACCTACCCACAACCAAACATACATAAGGGACGTTCTTTTGTTCACCGGTGGCTCCATCAATCCACAAACTGTTTATTTATTACTGTTGTGTCAACCAAAATTGCATACCATTCCACCGATGTACAGAGATGGCGGACGAATTTTGGTGGCTTCCGAAATGACAGCGACAGCATAACCTCAATTTCAAGAAATCAGTGCAAACATTCAGGAAACTTGTATTCCAACAGATAATTCTTATTAATGACTCGCCAATTCTGAGCTTCTAATTGAAAACAACCTAAATCATCATCAAATCACGAAAACAAATAAAATAATGGTAAAAACAGTTGTGATTGTCATGTCAAATAACTGCGTTTTTTTTTCAACGCTGATGATTGCAACAATTCGGTGCATCAAAGAGTGACTTCACTTCCATCAATGATGAAAATGTGTAAAAAAGAAAATACCTATAGGTACCAAGCTAATAAAAGCATGTTAAAAAATCACACTTGTTGCCAACTAGAGAACATTTGAATTTTGTTTGTTATTCATGCAACAAGTATGACTTTCCCAACACTTGTTCCAGACAAATACAGTTACCTCGTGAACCTCTTCTGCATCAAATCGTACAACTTCACCAAGCTGGTGCTGTGCTATGGATGCGACAAGGGCGCCATGGTGTCGATCACGTGGCACTCGGCCGAGAAGGCGTTCAAACTGGCCTTCGGCGCCACCAACAATTCGCTCAACGCCCATTCGCTGGTGCAGGAACAACTCGAGTCGCACCTGAACCAGTACAGGAACCTGGCGCAGGTCAGGACTTTATGAATTCTCATGTTTTGATACTTGTTTACTGTTACCCTCGATTATATACACAGGGTGTTTCGTAATATGTGGAACGCACTTCAAGAGGTGATGGGGCGTCTCTAGAAAGTAAAAAAGTTCCCATAAACAAAAGCACCAAGTGTTGAAACTCGTAGATACAATGTTTTCGTGAAAAACTGAATAACCAAAATCAACTCCAAAATTTTATGTAGATTTCATTCAAAACATCTGTTCAGATTGCTCTGACCATGATAGATATTATTCTGTAATCGGGAAGACCACTGATTTTTTAAAACGACATTATCGTGAACTCTATGCTGAAAAACTACCAGTAAATTAATTTTGAATTTTTTCATTCATGCTAAGACGATGAAAAAAATAAATTAGTATATGTCCATTTCAAAACACACAATTCCTGCGCCATTTGAAATTTCATCAATTCATTGGTGTGACTGGTGCGACGTCTTAGTCGCAACACGCCTATTGTCCTTGAACTGACCAATTACACTGCAACACTGCAGAATGACTAATGACTAATACGTCACGACTCCACCATCATATTTGGCTGTTTTAAATATCGAATGAAATATGCTGATTTCAAAACGATATAGATTCGATTCCCTTCAACTTCAACTCATAATATTGATTGTACATAAAATGTAAATCATGATTCGTCGATTGATAGAGGTTTGCACGGGTTTCTCCCCTCAGTGGTCTTCCCCATTATGGCACTATGCCAGTCACATAACAGACTAAATTTTTCCACCACGATAAGCCATACATAAACATAAACATAGACGTAAAAACATTCTATAAATATTTTCAACTTCAAGTTCATACTTCGCGCATTGTATGTAAACTATATGAGATTCTTATATTTTAACTTTATGGTCCTCAATCGAGCAAACATTCAAGAAATCATTTACTTCTGAATGTTCAACAATATTTTTTTTATCTCTTGGACCGCACGAAAGGAAATTCCTTTATTGTTCTTGGAACATCGTGCGTATCTAAGGAGGGTAGGGAGAGGCCTTTTGAGCCAGATCAACACTATTTTTTATATTAACCCAAATCCTGTCAACGTCCTTTTGAAAGGTCGTTGAAGAAATCTTCATTTTTCAACAGTTTCAACTACCTGTATTGAAATGGTGCTATGTTATGTTGATATAATAAGATACCTTGGATATATTCTGCACATTACCGATATTTCCGATCTTGATCAACTCTGAATAATATTGATTGTTTTATCGAAAGTTCTAATCGTGCTCTCTTGAATAACTGGAGGTAAGGATAATTGAATTATTAAAACTAAAATATACTGTCAATTATGAAATACTGATTTAGTATAGTCTTATCTCCATGCCCTGATCATTTATAAGTCTTTTTACTCGTGATGTTTTCCTACATAGCCCTACAAACGTCACCGTTCTTTTTAAAGGACAGTGGTCCAAAATCATACTATTATAATTTTCAACTATTAGAAAAAACATTTGTCATTCAATGAATTAAGCATTGCTATGGTGATCATGCGAGACTACTAGACGCCATAGCTGTCTTTCCTCCAACCTACGCTAACGAAGATGTTACTGATGAAGCCTCCGGCGATGACGAACTAGTTACAATGTAGAACCTCCTAAGTGCTCTATTGAATGCTCATACTGAACCTATTTCCAATATCGATAATGGTAGCGAATAGCGATGATTGTGAAGATGAAATTCCTATGTATTATTTTACGAAATACAAAAAGATGTAAAGAGCTAATAAAAACAGAGAGGAGAAGCTTCGAGTATGCCTTGGAACGTGTTTGGTACTTTGTACATCACCCTTTATGTTATATCTAGGTCAAGTAGTTAAGACACCATGTATGTCCAGTACTTTACCTGTATGATCCTGTATAATGTTAGTTGCTAGTGGTATTACCCTATATAGGATAGGATTTCATTTGTTGTTATCATGACGACGTGTTGTTGAAACATAAGATTGAATCAATAAAGTTGGGAGAGAAATTGCAATCGGTTGCAATTTCCCTTTTATTCTTCATATCATATCAGTTTTTATTCAACGATCGAAATACAGTCCACACTCATCACCAAGAGTATCGAACAGAACGAGACGAAAACTTTATAATATGTCGCTTGAAAGAAAACAATATAGTCACCATTGCTTCCAATTATTATGAAAATGTACTGTGCCTCAACCCAAAATGATAAAGAAGTATAACCAGAATATGGAAGTGGATAGGGCTGACCAGAATATCAGTCTATACCGCGTGACCATCAGAGGGTACTTTTCAATAATTGGTCATTGCCTGGATATGGCTATCCAAAATGCATGGTAGCTTCATCGCCATAATGGCGGAAAAATGGACCAATATAATTTTTGTCGATCGCTAGCTAAAGGTATTTCAGAAACTCGAATGTTAACGGGAATGAATTCAATCAAGTCCAATGTAGGTTTGCACCCTAAAACTTGTTTTTTCAATTACATTACTCAGAAATAATCGAGGTGATAATCATTCACTCATACATTTCTATCACTTTGTATTTTCATCTACAACTCATGAATAAAAATATTATTCCTGTAGAGTATCTCACTACTACACCTCATTATACCATTGTCCTTCATGAAGGACGGGCATTATCAATAAAATTATCAATTATACAATCAAAAGTTACAGAGAGAAGTTGTTCATTAGATTATTATTGTTGATTGTGTGAAAAGAAAATATGTATATTTGAAAAAATTCCATTTCGGAAGTATCTGGGTTGAGCTAAGCATATTACTACTTCAGAACTATATTTTTCGACGTTTGTAGAAAAAATGTTGTTTGCAACTCGTGCGCGAAATACTCTGGTCATCTCGAATATTTTTTCAATTCGGCTGCGCCTCGTTGAAAAAATCAGTTCCAGATCACCAAAGTACCATTTCGCGCACTAGATACAAAAATAACTCAAATACTTTTGTCAATACTATGCTACACTCATGAATCCGTGCCTACCCTTACATAAAGTACAAAAAAAAACTGGATACTAAAAACTAAGCTGATAGATAAGAACGGCTGTTAGATTTGAAATGACTGTACAAGTGTTTGTCGATAAGATCACGTTTCTTGCACTCTGAACATATTTGTTTTATTGTTTATTGAGAAAATAGCTTACAGTCAGAAATAAAATTCTGGTATCAGGAAGTTGATTACAAACAACAATAATAAAATAACATAAGATGACAACAAAAAAAAACTAAAAAATCTAAAAATGCTAAATCGATCAAGTCATAAAAATAGCAACACGGGCTAATCAGTAGATAGCAAAGTATCAATTTTATTTATTTCGTAATAAAATCATGTGTTTTATTAATTCAATTTTAAATTTTGGAATATGTCTGCAATTTTTTATAATATGTGGTAATTTATTGAATTCAGCTAGAGCAGCGTGAGTATTTTTGTTTTGGCTAATTATAGAAGTAGCAGAATGAAGATGAAATAAGTTTAATTGTCTTATGTGATGACCATGAATTTCTGAGTTTCTTATCAAAACAAAATTGGATTGCAGATAATTGTTTATGATATTATTTATATATTCTCTCTGTTCTCTCAGATTTTGCAGCTGCTGCATGAGACCTACGAGCCTTTGCTGTCTGTTAGCAAGTTGCCGACCATTCCACAACTCGGGATCCACAACACTGTAAGTCGATTTTGAAACTAATGATGATGTGTTTTGCTTTTTGCTAGAAGGAATATTTTCTTACTGCGGTCTATTCCAGAGTCGTCCATATGTTTGTACTGAGGTTATGGAATAGTTTGTACTCAACTATTGCCGTTCTAAATGAAGACCTAGTTAATATATTATGCAAAAATGCAAAAATCGCCTATATTTACCACATTTTCAGTAAGCCTCTATTCCAAAAATAGTTATTTTTTGTTATGATAGCCCTGGGAATTTTTCAAATACTTACACCGCTACGCTAAGCTTGATATAGATATCTTTTTGCCAGAACATCGTTTTCGAGAGAAATTACTGATGGAAAATTTTTAAGTTAGTAAAGAAATTTATCCTGTAAATGAAAAGTTCGAGTGTTTTGGCGAGATAAATCAACGACAATATACTAATAAACAACAATAATAATTACATTTATCGATTATTTCGTGTTTCTTGTAGTATGTGGAATTGATTTTTTATATTTTTTGTGGTTTCTTCAGAGCAAAAATTTTCCTAAAACCTATCATCTTGCTAATTTACGCGTATACAATACCCAACAAATAACCAAGCAGATTGGTATTCACACTATGAGGGTCGAAATCAATGTGAGCGAAAGATATACTACAAATATGAACTCGAAAAAAGACAGGAATCAACTTGTCTGTTACAGATTTCCGCGAGTACGTACATTACTCACTGGGGTATTTTTGTTCACCATCTACTTTGAACGTCTAAAAATATTGAATGGCATGGTTTTTTTCATTTGATATTCTATATAACGATTAGAAACTACATAGAAAGAGAATATTTGAGAGGATTATCGGATATTGATACGCAACAAAAATTATCGCCATAAACCACGAAAAAATACCAATTTGGGGTACAAAATTACCCCACTTAGTATTACGAAGGTTAATAGGCCTATTCAGCAAAAAATCGTCATTTTACGAGTCGTTAGATAACAACTATCGTTATCCTAATATGTAACGACAATTCGAACGACTTGATGAAAAATGCATTCTATAACATATTTCGTTGGAATATTCGAAAATTAAAAAGAAGTATATATTTTCAGAAAAGATAGTATGACATAATGTGACATTATTTGTCATAAATTGACAAATCGTTATGTATCATATAGATCAGAGATCTTCTACCTATTCTTCTACTATAATAATTGGAGAAAATAATGTTTTTAAGGGAAGTAGGATTGCTTACAGGCACTGGAGTGCTAAAATATTCAAACAGGGATTCCTTATTATTTGAATATACGTGGAGGAACTGTAGGGATATAAATAATTTCCATCAAATCCCACCAACCCACAAAACCCAATATCCTGGAAGAAAGGAGTGATTTGGTTCAATGATTGAATAGTTCCAGAGGCCCAATGAGGGATGAAAAGCAATGGAGAAAAGTGCCTATGTATTATTTTTTTATGGGTTTTGAAAAAAATTAAATGAGGGATAATTTAGAGTTTTGAATAATTAACTTCTTAATCTACCTATTTTGTAACTTGAAATCAAACCCATTTTCAACATATACAATATCTCGAAGATTTGATTCAGTGAGGTAATTGTCTACAAGTATGTCTGATATTTCATAAATACATCTGCTTGGGGCATAGCCCATGATTTCTCTTTCTATAGATTTTTGGTAACAACAGATGGGTACATCAGTAAGTAGGTACTTTCCGATTATATTTTCAACAACTGATGGTATATACTAGTATTCCTACTGGCCTCCTTGGGATACTGCAACATATTATAAGAGAATACCCCCCAAACTATAGCTCTCTGGGTAACCGACAATCCTCCCGAAAGTTTCCTTCATAGGACTTTCGAATGGTTTACTAGCGTCCCTCAAGCGCTTATTCAAATTTTTATTTACCTGTCTGAATCGAAATAAACGGTGAATATCAACGAATATTCATATTAAACTCCTCTGAAACCCTTCTGGAAATTCATAAGACTGACTGGATCCATCTCCAACAGAAAACCGATGGATGAGTGGATATTATGCGTTCATTGTTTTGTTCATGTTATCCTACCGATACTCTGAATAGGTATCGTCTATAAACGATGCTCTGATGACAGCTTGTCGTTCTTTACCGACTGTCAAATCGGTAGTGAATTCGATTCAAGAAAATTATCGTTATTTAACGATATGTTATCCACTAACGACACGTAACGATAACGTTAAGAGATACTGAATATTTTTTTTTATCGCTTGGAGCGCACGAAAGGAAATCCCTATAATGTTCAAAGAACATCGTGCGTTCCTAGGGAGGATAGGGACAGGAGGTAGGTATTGGATTTTTTTTTTGAACTTTTGGAGATTATATGTTGTTGGGAATACTTCCACAGGCAATGAATTCCAGAGCCTAGCCGTTCTATGGATGAAGGAGTCTTGATAAAGTGCTGTTCGACATCTTTCGAGGTTGACAACAAAGGGATGTGCTGACTGGGCTTGTTTAGTTCGTCTGATTGGTATTGCTAGTGAAGGGATGATAGCAGAGATTTCCGAAGAACATTTCCCGTGGAAGTATCGATAGAAAAGTGAAAGGTCACCGACCTTTCTACGGTGTTCCAAAGATGTCAAAGAGTGAGTGAGTGAGTGTGGCGTCACCCACCAGGCGAATGGCTCTTCTCTGGATGGAATCTAAGAGCATCAGCGTATGTTTTGGTGCTGAACCCCATATGTGAGAACAGTATTCTAGAACAGGCCGTATCTGCGCTTTGTAGATCATAAGAAGCTGTTGAGGTGTAAAGTAGCTTTTCGCACGAAACAAGAATCCGAGTTTTTGCGAAGCAGCTTTTGCGATGGATCTGACATGATTATCCCATGAAAGAGTGTTGCTGATGGAAATACCGAGCATAGATATGGTGGGCTTGGTGGGGATGGTGGTGCCAGACATTACAATGTCGGGCATACTGAGTTCCGCCATTCTAGAGAAAATACAGGCTTGAGTTTTGGTGGCGTTGAATTCAACTAGGTTGTTGGTTCCCCAGGCTGTGATTTCAGCAAGATCTATGCCTGTAAGAGTGTGGAAAATTGATGGAATGAATAGGAGCTTTGGGAAGGGTGGATATTATAGTTTCAAGAAAATGAATAAGGGCGTTTGATTGTCGTTTTAAGATGTTCGATGATTGTTTTCGATGGGCGTATTGATGGATGAGTGTTTGAAAAGGAAGTATAAGGGTCTTAGAAAGGTAGAAGTGTGAATGATCACGCAACGTGAAACTTTTGTTGCTGTGTTTCAGAGACACCAAGTGCCCGTCCAAACCTTCACCGTGATGGCCCAATCGTGCACGTTGATCCGCTTGGCCTACCAGGGCATGTACTGCCTGGAGTTGCGCGTGCGCGGCTCCGGGCTGGTCTCGCTCCGGGACGGCGCCTACAGCCGCTTCGATCGCAGCAACGTCGTCGACGTCTTCTCGCCCACGCAATGTTTGAAGGCGTTCCTCTCCAAGTACGTGGACGAGACGGCGATGTTCAGGAGAAGGTCGCAGTCCGAGGACGATAATCCGCCGTCTCCGATGGAGGTGGAGGGAGGCGGATTTTTAGGTATGTTGGGTGTTGGTCATAGTCATAAAAAAATACACTATTTGTTTACAATCATACATACTTTCAAAGTTTCAAATAAGTTAGAACGAGATGGCTTTAAAAAATAGCAACGCCGTAAACTGTGCCTGATTTTTACACTTGTCATTACCAGTCGCATAGGTTAAGCGAGGGGCTAGATAATTTCACTACAATGACAACGCTATTGTACCTATTAGAAAATGTTTGGGTCTTATTTTCTAATGTAAATACCAAATATTCGTGGTACCTTACCAACTTACCAACTTTTTATCCTTCTTCCTATCCTACTGCTTTTCAATTCCGCACTCTATATCTCTTCATGTTTTCAAACTACTTTTTATTTTCAGTTCACTTCTTTTCAGTTTTGGCTATCTATGAAAATTAGTTTCATTAGTTTTTCCAAATATTATTTATTTCAATAGCTGATACCCGGCAAACGTCGTTTTGCTGTATACATTTATCTCTAGGAAATTTTTGTTGTTGAATATTTATCAACACACTTTCATTATTTTGTTTACTTTGTTTTTGGCTACCATAAAATCGGGCTTCATTAGTATTTCAAACTAATATTTTTATTTTCTACTTTTTTTACAATCGACAATCTATCTCGTTTTTAAACTATACTATGAATTAGTTATGTGAGTAGAAAAATATATTTATATTTATATGAGATGCAATGTAATGTTTATAGCAAAGAATGAAATAAATATTATTAAATATTTGAAAAACCGGAAGTGATTGAACAAAAATTGTCGTCAATTAATGAGCAATTTGGTATTCTAGCTGCCTATCAATTTTCAAAACCCTATCTTGAATAATACGAAAGTTACTGTCCTGGCCGTGTTTTGTGCACTTCTCTGTATGTATTGGAAAAAAATGAAAAACTCGATCATCGCCCGGCGAACATCAAGTTTCATAACCGGAAACTCACTTCTAGGTCATCACCGAGGCGGGCCCCAATCGCCGGCGCCCGGCGGTGGCCAAAGGGCGGACCCCGCCTCGGGGGTGGGCGTGGGCGGGCTCCGCTTCCACCCGCCGCTCACGCCGCCCTCGGGCTCTAATCCGCACACGCCGGCCAGTCCGCACACGTCGCTGGGTCAGGCGGCGGGCGGGCCGCACACGGGATTTGGATCCAGTCCGGCCACGTCCTTCAATTTGGCCTCGCCGACGTCGCTTCAGGTAACGGAAATAATCTGAAGTTCATGAGATTTTTCATAGAAACAGTTAATTACTGTATGCAGATTGAACTGTGGCTTTTGCCCTAAAACATACATTGGTCATACAGGTAGAATTTTCAAGCAACGAGTCCAGGAACATACACATATTTTTTTTGTTCTATTTATCTATTTTCAGTAACGAAAATAATCTGAAATTCATGAGAGTTTTCATAAAAATAGTTGATTATTGTATGCAGATTGAACTGTGGATTTTGACCTAAAACATACATTGGCCATACAGGTAGAATTTTCAAGCAACGTGTTCAGGAACATACAAATATTTTTTGTTTCATTTATCTATTTTCAGTAACGAAAATAATCTGAAATTCATGAGATTTTTCATAAAAACAGTTAATTATTGTATGCAGATTGAACTGTGTATTTTGACCTAAGACATACATTGGTCATACAGGTAGAATTTTCAAGCAACGTGTCCAGGAACATACAAATATTTTTTTGTTTCATTTATCTATTTTCAGTAACGAAAATAATCTGAAATTCATGAGATTTTTCATAAAAGCAGTTGATTATTGTATGCAGATTGAACTGTGGATTTTGACCTAAAACATACATTGGTCAGACAGGTAGAATTTTCAAGCAACGTGTTCAGGAACATACAAATATTTTTTTGTTTTATTTATTCATTGAAAATGTGACTTCCAGTCAGAATCAAGTTCAGGTATAAGGAAGTGTAGTTATCAATAATACCTAAAACTATACAATTATAATAAACTCATAAATAATATAGTATTTGAAAACATTAAGTATTCAATTTTGACAAATCATTTCATATTGGTGAGCAACAATCAATTTGAATATGAATCAAAAGTTGAAAAAAAATCATCTCTATTTCTGCAGTTTTTTATATTATCTGGTAATATGTCATATTCGAAAAGAGCAGCGTGGGTGAATATTTTTTGGCCTATAGAAGAATTAGCGAGATGAAGATGAAATACACCATGTTGTCTAGTTTGGTAATTATGAATTTCATTGTTTCGTGTTGAAATAAAATTGGATTTCAATCTTCTATTTATAATATTGTATGTAATTTTCAGTATTTCAATTTTGAAAATTTCTTCTAATGAGAATGATTCCGTTATTTCATATAATTGATTTGTTGGTTTATCATATGGTAAACGATACAGTACTCTCAATGTCTTTTTATATAATGCAGATATGTTATTGAAATTGTTTTTTGAACAGTATCCCCAAATAGTTAATACGACTGAGTATATCAGAATGTAGAATTAAATTTGCAACTTTTTTATCCAGCTTGGGACATCTTCTCAGTGCTCCAATAATAGGAGATATTTTTTTTGTCAAAACATTAATATGTTTGTCCCACTTTAATTTATCATCAAACCAAAACCCAAGTTACTTTTTCTCATTAGTTTGTTTCAAAGATTCATTTTTAATTCTGAGATTTAAATTTATACTTTGTTTATTTTTTTGTTGAAAAATCATATAATATTCAGTTTTATCAGTATTTATTGATAAAGCAAATCTTCTTAACGATGAGGTTTTCACGAAATTCTCATGAACACATGACATTTTTCGCTGAAAAATTCTCGTGCGATCTATTATTTGCAGATTGAAATGTGAATCTTGGCCTAAGGATACTTTGGTCAGATATGTAGAATATGCAAGCACCCTGTTCAGGAACATAAAATGAGCAAAATTCACATAAATATACACTAAATCAGGAGAAAATCATAATTTCGATGACAATTTCTAACTCACCGGTAAAGGAAACCTGCCAAAATGAGTTTTTTTTTTCGAATAAATAAAATTTGTTGATACGGTGTCAACGGAGAACTTTGTGACCGTTGAGGTTTTCACGAAATTCTCAAAAACGCGAAATTTTTTGCTGAGAAAAACTCTTGCAATAATCTACTGTTTGCAGATTGAACTGTGGTTCTTGTCCAAAGAATACATTGGTCAGACAGGTCAGAACGTTCAAGAACGTTAAGAAATATTAGCACGTATTGTATACAAATTAAACTTTTGATCTTGTTTCCAGACAGACATTGGTCAGACAGGTAGAACGTTCATACATCGTGTTCAGGAACATAAAATGAGTATTTTATGAGAAAGCAAACTCTCCATAGCCTTACCATTTATATAAGAAAAAAAACATAGTTTTGATGACAGTTTTGGAAATGTACCTGTGGATCTTTTTGAGGCATGCATTGGTCAGATAGGTAGAATGTTCAAGCACCGTGTTCAAGAACATTAAATGAGTTTTTCAAAAAGAAAATCATAGTTTCGATGACAATTTAGAAATATCCCATATGAAAAACTGTGGAATGAAACGTAACGTAGTTATTCAAAATCATTAGAAATCGAAAAAAATTTTGTATGTAATACAAAAATTGTCAAATTTTACTCAACGATCAACTAGACTCGGCAATTCATCAATATTGAATTCATATTTGTTTTCAACAAATAAGTCGAAAATGAATTATTGTTTTTTTTTATTTTTTCTAGGCGAACATAAATCCCAGCCCCGTCGGTCTGGTCGCCAACTCCCCTCTGAACCCTCAGCTGCCGAGTCCCGGTGGCGGATTGCTGAGCAACAGCTCTCCGGGGCCGCAGTCTCAGACGAACATGCCCGGACATTCGCCGGTCAGCAGTTTCTTGCCTACCGGTAAGTGGAACCGGAATATATCTACCTCAATGTATCGAATCCGTTGGTGCTATTAGGTTCATTCAGTATCGAATTTTATTTATTTTTTTATTTTTTTCTGTGGCAGGAAAGAAGTTTGACATTTCATCTCTGTTGACAGGTTATAAAATGTCACTTTTCATAAATCAATTTTCCCCCACAAAGAAGTGGGGTGGTATAGGTGGTATATGTTGATATCAAATTGTTGATGGTTCAAAAGGTATTCAAATTTCCTGAAAAATGCGACCCATTTGAAAAAATTTATGAACAATAAGGCTGTTTTGAATAACCCCATATGTTATACCATTTCGGAATCTGTATTAATTCGGCAACTTCTTCTTATGATTGGTTATCTTTGTGGGGAAGTTTTTATATCTGCCAGCGGCATATAAAAATCGACTTAAATATTTAATTCAATGACAAAACTCAAGGAAACAAAATTTTTCTCAGGTGACTGATAGGAATACATGTCATAAAATGATTTATGAGGAAAGGTGCATCTATGTGGATGAAATTTGTTGAAGAAAAAATCACAAATGTGACATAGTTTTATTTTCATCAATTATTTTTATAGAAATGAAAAAACATTCACAACTTTTGAACCATCAACAATTGGATCACCACATACACGGATAGTTTAATTGGAAATGACCCCCCCCTACCACCTCACTCCTTTTGATCCATGACTTATGGGACACTCTGTATATACCGTCGATGGTTTGTGTTGTGCGTTCCGGAAAATAAGCCAATAACACCGAGAAGGAAGAAGGCCTTTTACCTTCCATTCGACTTCGCGATTACGTAAATTACTAAACAACCACTAAATCCGCAATTTTTTTAAATCAAATTACATAATTAGACTGACAGCTATTTGATTACTTCAACGGAATGATGAAGTTGCCTGCAACGCAGGAATAATTCCTGTTAACAACTTTCACGTCGATCATTTTCTGGATTGTCATATAATGTGATATCTTCTCGATACTGATTCATACTTTTCCTGTCACGGAAAAAATATTAGATTTTAGCATATGTTTTTTTGTCTCCCTCCACATCGCGTCAGAAGACAACATAATCTCGAGCTACAATAATAATATACAACTTTTTTCCCTTGTATAATAATAGTTATTTATTATACAAGGGAAAAAAGTAGTAGATGTTAGCTCCAGGTTGTGAGCTAAAATCTAATATTTTTCCCGTGTATAATACACTATTTTTTTCTGTGACAGAAGAAAGGACGAATCAATATTGAGAAGATATTACATTATTTTGAAATCTGAAAATTATCGACGTGAAATTTTTAACAGTTTTTAACAGTAGGGACACCGCGTTGTAGGCATCTTTATCATTCATTTGAAGTAATCAAATATCTGATGTCACTTCTGTCAGTCTAATTCTGTGATTTGATTTCAAAAAATTGCGAATTCAGTGGTTGTTCAGTAATATACGTAACCGCAAAGTCGAATGGAAGATAAAAGGACTTGCAGTTCTTTCTCGGAGACGGTATTATTGACTAATTTTTCGGAACTATAGCACAACTATTTTTTTAATGAAATATCTCGCTCATCTCTGCTTGCTTCGCTGTCGGATTATTTCAACTGGTAAACTGACACTTTGTAATGAGTATGCAACAAGTTATCGGTGTATAACCCGAATATTTTGATGTACTTATAGTATTACTACTGAATATGTTTTTGTCATCTCTATTTTATAGAACATGTACTCCTTATAGCGCCTCATCTTAGCGATTCGTAATTGTCGCGGGCTATTTTTTTATTTCTCAAATAGAATCATCAATCAAATACCTTTCATTTCATATTTTTTTAGAATTTTTCGGTTGATTTTCAGTAGCTGAAATCATCAATATTGCCACGGTAATTTTCAAACGGATAGAAATTTGCCGCGAGTAAAAACTGATGTCACGATTTCGTTATCAGGGGCAGACCATAGCACAGTTGCCATGTGTTGAAATACGATTGGGAACATCAGAAATATCAGTTATTCAAACATTCATAAATTCCCAATGATGAATTGGTAATATTCCTATTTAGCAATACAATAAATTGTCTCAAAATGTTCCCTTATGATTTGTGGCTTATTGGTTATAATACATTTGTGTGAACAGTAATTATATTAATTCACACTAGATGACATTCGAAGCGGTAAACGTGACAACACCGCGCGCACGACTTGTGGGCCTGGTCTTGTCCCTTCTCAGCATTGACATTTTGTTATGGAGTATGGAGTATATTTGGACATGCTGGTTGCTCGAAAGAGTCAAGAATAAACTATAATATCATGAGTGTAGTGTCTAGCGATATTTTATAAAATGAATTTCTTTTATGATCGCAAGTTGAACATGCACTTACCCCGAAGAATTCTTCTACTAGTGATGTCAGCTTGCAGGAGCGGCGAGGTTGTTGAGCACTATAGCACTATAGCGATGAAAGCGGTGAAAGTGGTGAGAGCAAAGTAGCGTGTAGCTATTGATAAGCACATGCGACCGTTGTGGAGATTCTCGTTCGAATGTATTCTGCTTCTATCACGAGCTGCGTGAGGTCGCCACTTTCGGTGCCAAGTTCAACTTGTTTCACGCGGTAAATGAGAATATTCTGAATGAAATTAGATATAATAAAGTAAGTTTCTTGTAACTGATAATTATCTGATTAAATAGAATAGGACATATACATAAAACAAAAAATAGTGAGTGAGGACACAACAATGGGTTCCTCCTATTATGTTTTATTCAACGACAGGACTCTTGCATCTTTTTGATAACACAAACCCTCTCATCACTACACTCCACTTAGAGAAAATTATGGACTTCTACATAAGATTGATTATAATTGGTGACTTGACAACCTTGCGTCGTGAGTGGGAATGGAAGATTATCTAACCAATAACAAAACAGCATAAAAGCTGACGTCACCATTCATTCGACGTATCGCCAAATAGTGGCCATGACAGTACGTTTGAAATGAGCTCCGAAATTCAACATTTTCCAACAACGCATACACTCATTATTTACATAAAAAAGTGTGAGAAATGTTGCAAAAATTAATCTAGGTCCCTAACGACACAGTCTAATAATTGAATGCCAATAATTTATCAGTAATAAATCCACTCGCCCACTGTGATAAATGTTAGTAGCTGTTGAATTGCTTAAACGTACCTAAATGAATATGACCGACCACTCAGTAAAATACACACACACCCCCTCACAGTGAATTATTTCTTCACTGGACGAATAATAATAAAGACCTTTACACTATTTAAACTATATTCGGGAAAAAATAGACGAACACAATCACCACCGTATGCTAACAATATGAATTGTACTCCTGTCACTGTCGTGATCAGGCAGAGACTGACTAATAATTCTTATGCCGCATCATACTTCCACGTATTTCGGGATGAGTAATCCGTTATACAACTCTTCGTAGTCGAACTATCATATCATATATACAGGTTGTACTCAATGGTGAGACATCTTTGTTAAGAGGATGTAGAATTCGTTGAAATATACAGATCAATTAAATATCGACTCAATAAAAGTTGCATAATGGATATATTATCATATTATGTAATTCAACAAGTATATCGATGATTATCGAAATGCAAACCCGATCTTCGATCTTGAGAAACAAATTAAGGACGCACCAAATATTGTCATTCGCCTCGTCAGGGGCAGGGCATTTTCAGTATTACTTGCTTCTGTACAGCTCTCTCGCAATATTTGATGCGTCCTGTTTCTAGACTCTAATCGCTAGTGTCAAGTTGTAACTGTGGATAGAGATTAAGTGAAAGTTAGCGATGTACTCGACTCGAAGAATGGTTCTTCAAATTGCGATCATACAAAGTTGGTCTAAAATTCTTCTATACAAATCAAATTTCAGAATCCTTGACGATTTTGTCTGAAGTTTAGTGTTGTGCTACTTATCCCTGAATATGAAAATATTATGACATCCATGTCCTTGACAGTTTGCGTCATGTAAGTAATTTTGTTTTATATTTTGATCAAACTACCAATGAGGAAGCGAAATACAAAATCGAAAACACAGCATATTCAGAAAGCCAGCTGAAAACATCATGTTTTCGATCTTCAACACAGATATTTCATCCAATCAAAAACGTGTATTTTGAAATGAGTGAAATAATAAATGAAACATTTCATATACAGGGTGTATCTTAAATGATGACTTCAATTTCAGGAGGTGATATCTGGTCATATTTCATGACAAAAAGTTCATATAAACGTGTGTCCTAACTTGCTCCGTTTCCGAGTAACGGGGTGTCCAAAGTTTAATGAAATATCGGTTTTTCATGAATTACTCAAAATACTGTTCGCCGATTTTGATCAAACTTCGTGTGTTTGTGATTAGTAATACGAAGCTTCTTTTCATGAAAGTAGATTTTGATTTTTTTTCCAGTGGAATGAAATAAAAATGAACTAGCAGTTTGAATATCAATCAGGTTACCCTCTGCCACACCACTGGAAACAAAATTCAAAATCTACTTTCATGAAAAGTGGCTTCGTATTACAAATCACAAACATACGAAGGTTAATCAAAATCGGCGAACAGTATTTTGAGTAATTCATGAAAAACCGATATTTCATTAAACTTCGGACACCCCGTTACTCGGAAACGGAGCAAGTTAGGGCACACGTTTATATGAACTTTTTGTCATGAAATATGGCAAGGAATCAGCACCTCAAGTTAAAGTCATCATTCAAGATACACCCTGTATATTGAAATAATTTCATTACGGTCCTGGCCGCACGAATCTCTGTAGCCAACTGATCATCCCATGTACCCCTATTACGGTCCACAGTTCAAAGTAGAATTTTGTTTGACTAGCGCAAATCACCGGATCCTCTTTCTCAGTTATTTTTTTGGGCATTGTCAAACAATGTAGAACCGTTTACGAAAATAATGAACTTGTTTACATACTTTTGATTTATGGTGAGTGTCGCCAAAGTGCAGCAGCAACAATTCGTGTCTGAAAAAACAAAGAAGAAGACATATGGGAAGGCTTGTATAAAATGGTAAATATACCAGGACCGTAATAGGCCCCATTCTATCGGTGTCTTCGAACATCGTTATCTCGCAACTTTTAAATGGTCTATTTTTGGTGATTTTGTCTATCTGGATGAGTTCTACATCGTTATAAAAATGTCCTCACCTTTGAGAACATCTTGTATAGCTTCTCAACACTAGGATTGTATGTTCAAAGAGTGCGCTGCGTTGTGCCCATATCTCACATTGCGTTATATATATATACGTGGTTTTGATAGGCACACATTTTGATATACCCACCCGAACATGAACATTGCACTGTTGCAAAATGTAGGCGTAACACATTGTGTTGATAGGCCCACAATGACCAGTATAATAGCTATACCTATGGCTCTCTGATTCCGATTTCCGAAGACTTAATATAAGGATGGAGAATATCGTTCCTTCATAAGTTGAGGGACTACTTTTTCTGAATAATCTAACCTTACTCGGCCTTAATAAACCTTCTCCCTAGGAAGTATATCATTCGGTTATGTGCGAAGTCTTAGGGTATATCGGAAATAGAGCACTAGTCCAGAGATATCGGCACAACCGGCACCTATCACGGTCCCTGAAAATTAAACTTAAGCTTAAGCTTTGTGATGCAAATATTCACACAGGTGATATTGCTTTAAGCTTGATATTCGGTTAACTAAAGCAAATTATTAGCCCCTTAAGTATTCGTTTGTTTGATTCCCTTGAAGTTAGAATGAATCGAAGAAGAACCACATCTTCCCAAGTAATAAGTTGACTCACCAACCCCTAAGATTATGCAGCCATTTCGAGAGAATGGAATTGGATGACCTAATCGGAATGTGAGCCTATCGAAACGACATGCTTCCTCTGTTCAAATACCGCACAAACAACTTTTTTTACTGGTCGAATATCTGATCAGTGATATTTATAAAGCAATTTTTTTATCGGTAGGTCACACGGACGGTAGCCCGTTCCCCTCGCAGAGCATGTCTTCGCCGGCGGCGTCGACCAATTGGCCCGGTTCGCCAGGCATGCCTCGGCCGTCCCCCGCCCGGCCCGGCCAATCGCCGCTCGGCCACTCTGTCATGCACAGCCCGCAGCAGAACTGCGATTTGAAGGCGCTGCCCGGCGCTCATTTGGCCAGGGTGCTGCCCCAGAGGTGAGTGTCAAGAGATGTTCGTTGAGTCGCGGTACTCGGTTTTGGTGTGTTTGTCCAATGTTTGCAATGCTCGATGAGTTTCGGTACTCGGTTTATTTGTATTCGTCCAATTTTTGCAATGTTTGTTGATTCTTGGATCTCGGTTTCGGTGTGTTTGTCCAATGTTTGCACAAGTTTATCGTTTGTGTATCGGAAAGAGTCAGTACAAATAACTTGGCAAATAAAGTTTTCAATGATTGTGACTCAGCGTATGTGTCGCAACTTTTAATATTTCCAATTTATCATCATACTTTCAATATACAAGGTCTTCTTTGGACATAATTTTGAGTTCATCAAAGCAAAACTCGCAACATTTGTTTCATGGAAAGTTAACGTTTTTCTGGAATGTCCTCAATGTCGGCTGATCTGTTCATAAAATAAGACAGAGAGGAAGTCATCACTTCAATAATTTCTCTGATATTGAGCTAATATCGATCCACAGGGTGGTTCGAGATAGCAAAGAATCGTAAAATTCAGTCATGTATATTGTGGTTTGAACGTTGACTACTGTATATTGACTTGGAATGATTTTATATCATTTCTGATATCATTTTTGATCTTCTGGGCAATCGTCACTTGATCATGTACAGCCTGCAGCAGAAAGAAAGGTGCTGCCGCAAAGGTGAGTAGATGTTCGTTGAGGCTTGGGACTTGGTTTCGGTATGTTTTTCCAATATTTGATATGAAATATCGTGAAAAATCAGTCTAAACTACTTGACAGAAGCAGTTCTTAATCACCCTACGACGAACCGAACCGATTTTTCAACGCCTTGAAACGTTTCGCTATGTTAGCATCTACAAGAAAAGAAGATTAAAACTGGACTCAATTTCCATTGAGACTGGACCCTGCTTCAATCGTCTCCATGAAATGATTTTATATCCTGATATCATTTCTGTTCCTCTGGCGGTCTGGCCAATCACCACTAAGTCATGCACAGCCCGCAGAAAAACTGCGATCTGAAGGTGCTGTGTGCTCATTTTTTTCAGAGGTGACTTTCAAGAGATGTTCGTTGAGGCTCTATTTGGTTTCTTTGTGTTTGTCCAATGTTTGATGTTGGGGTACGTAATTTTAGGGGGACAAGTGTTGGAGTATCAGGAAGAGTCCGAGAGTCTACATCTGAACATTCTGAACTGAGTATTTGCTGTGATGATCCAATTAACAAATTAGATACTTGACAAATTTGAAATTTTTTGTTATGATTGTGTTTGTCAGACTAGGTTCAAACTTTGAAAACTCTATTTCAACTTGAAATGATTTTATATCATTTCCGAAATGATTTTATATCATTTCCGAAATGATTTTTGATCGGTGGCCGATAGCCGCTCGGCCACTTGGTCATGCACAACCCACAGTAGAACTGCGATTTGAAGGCGCTCCCCGGCGATCATTTGGCCAGGGTGCTGTCGCGAAGGTGAGTACATGTTCATTGAGTCTCCGGACTCGGATTCGGTGTGTTTGTCCAATATTTGATAGGTTGAATGAATGTTAGGGGAACAAGTTTATCGTTGAAATAGTCAGTCTAAAGTACTCAACAAATGAAGTTCTCAATGATTGTGACTGACAGACACATTGGGAATTTGTTTATATGATTGTGTAGGTAAAACTAGGAGACACATCAAAACTAGGTTCGAAGAATACCTTGTACAGGGTGGCCAACTAAGACTCCAGAGTTCGATTTCTCTGTTGTCTTGAGAGATACAAAAAAAATTCATGGATCAAAATTGCAGTAATAACCGAGCTTCACATTTCAAAATTTCTTTGAAATACACAGGGTGTTCCGTAAGGTCACAGCACATCAAAGCTATGTTTTTTTCATCGGAACACCCTATATTTTATTTCATTTTTGAATTCTCCCTGAAGATCTGATATCAACGACCCATCATACATAGGGTCTAGCAGTGAAAGTTACTGACATATAGGGTGTGCAAAATCGAGATTTTCCAAGTTCAGGATTTTTTTCTGTCGAAACTGTTCATTATTCGTCAAAACGGTTTACATGTCCCTATCTCAACTTTTCACTCACTATCAATTGGTGTTCAATTGAAATTGATACAAGGTGGTCAAAAATCTAAATTTATAATTTGTTTCAATTAAATGTAAACCGTTTTGACGAATAATAAACAGTTTCGACAGGAAAAAATCCTGAACTTGGAAAATCTCGATTTTGCTCACCCTATATGTCAGTAACTTTCACTGCTAGACCCTAAGTATGATACATCGTTGAAATCAGATCTTCAGGGAGAATTCAAAAATTAAATAAAATATAGGGTGTTCCAATGAAAAAAACATAGCTTTGATGTGCTGTGACCTTACGGAACACCTTGTGTATTCCAAAGAAATTTTGAAATGTGAAGCTGGATTATTAATTCAATTTTGATACTTGACTTTTTTTTGTATCTCTCAAGACAACAGAGAAATCGAACTCTGGAGTCTTAGTTGGCCACCCTATACATTTTAAAAAAGGGAAGAAATCAATAGTAGCGACACATTCTCACACCCAACTATTCAGACCTTGAAACTGATTGATTGATGTTTCAGGTCATGGGCAGGCGCTGTTCCTACTGTACTTTCTCACGAAGCTCTCGAGGCCCTTTGCTGCCCTTCGCAACACCCACAAGGGCTTCCAGTGCCAGATCTGTCTCCCTTAGAAAGATTTTTGGGTTGTGGGTACATGAAAAGGCAGTTGCAGAGGTTCATTCACAACGAAAACTACGTAAGTTCAACGTTCAGAGATCTAATTGTACGGGAAAACTGATAAGATCGAAAGTTTTTCCTATTTCTCGTTCTGTTTTGGATGTGTTTCAATTCTTTTTTTTTTCGCAGCTCACGATAATGGCCAGTACCGAACCGGGTGTCATTCATTTCAAAGTGGGAGAAACTCTACAGTGTCGAATCGGTTTGAATCCTCAACATTTGCAGAGTTTACATCTGAAGATAACCTCATCGCCGGAGCATAAAGATGTGTGGTCTCAGGATGAGTTACAGGTAAGATTACTTCATTTTTAGATAAATAATGATATTATTGTTTATATATCGTACAGAAATCAATTACTTTCCTAGATAATATCACAGAATATTTAATTATATCTGTCAAATATTGAAAATACCGTGCTACTTCCTTCCTACCGACTGCGCCAATCGTAAAATATCCTTTATAGGAGTATTTTCACATATTATCAGCTTGTAACATCGATTCCTACCGACTGCGCCAAACCTAAAAAATCGCTCCATAGGAATAAACCGAGCCTGACTTTCTCGCAGGTATTGGAGAAGTTCTTCGACACTCGGGCTGCAGCGCCCTCCTACAAACTGACCGCCATTTTCACCTTTTGCACGATGCTCAATCTGCCGGTCAACGGTTGAATGATTTCGTACAGATCATGCAATATAATATCGACACTAAGTTGTGTATCTCCTGCTTGTTTGTCTTTGGTGTTTCATCATCTCCATATAATTATTAGGAGGTATGGTCGACTCCTACCGACTGCGCCAACCTTGAAAAATTATTCTATATGAATGAATCGAGCTTTCTCGCTTTCTCGCAGGTATTGGAGAAGTTCTTCGACACTCGGGCTGCAGCGCCCCCCTACAAACCCACCGCCATGTTCACCTTTTGCACGATGCTGAATCTGCCCGTTAACGTGCTGAAGGACTTCGTGCAGATCATGCGGCTGGAGCTGATGCCCGGTCTGGCGGTGCAGCAGGGCTTGAAGTGGCGCGTCCAGTGGATGCTGAGAGTGCCGCCCGGGGCGCCGCCCATCGTGCCCACGGGCGTATCGGGCGTGTTGGTGTTCAAGGCCAAAGTGTTGTTTTTCGTAAGTGCCGATGTAGTGATGATTAATTCTTTCACATGTTAAAATTTGACATTTTGCTCATTTCAACCAATAACAATGCGTGGTTCTAGCCAATCTTCGGTATCATACTGATCCTAAATGAAACCCTATTTACATTGAACTGTCACAATGGGGTTGTACACACTAGAGTCACAGAAATGACAACGGTTAGGGTTTTTGAATGTTTAGATTTATGAAGTTACACACCTTGCATTGTGACAAGAGCACCATAGTCGTCCCGCGCTTTCTCATTCAAAATTGTTTGAATTTGACAATACATTTTATAAACGTCAGAATTGAAATGAAATTTCATAATTATACTTTCGAGAAAAAAGCAGTTATGGAAATGACTTGCTGTGAAATGAATTGTGCCAATTCTGAAAAAAATTAATATCATTTATTCAATTCTCCAAAACAAATATCAACCATTCGCTTATGGAAGGAAGATATGAAACGGCCTGGGTGGAAAATCAATTTGAAGAGGAGCAAAAGTTGTGATAACAGCATCTGATCAAAATGAAACTGTATTTTAGGCCCATTTCAAACAGAAGATTTCAAAATCTGTTTGAGAGAATCTGCTGTTCCATCGATTTACAAAGACTAGTTAGCACTTTTCATGCCCTATGGATTATTTTTAATCGTCTTTTTATCTGTTTATCAAAAAAAGACCCAAATTTCACATTCAAATACAAATTTTCAAAAAAGTATGAGGCCTAGACTCTGAATTTTAATTTTATTCAGATGTGTGTTGTGTTAGAGTACTTTTAAATACGAATTTGTTTCTGGAGTAACAGTTACGCAAAAATAATTTTTCAGATCATTTTCAATAACAGCCTTTTGAGACTCGATTCACAATTCTAGCGAAATCACAAAGTTGTTGAAAGATATTTATGGAAAGTGACACATCATTAGCAAGAGGATAGACTAGAGAACTTTCGAGGGAGTTGGAAGATCCTGGTCGCTTTTGGTTTTTTTTTGTAGTCATGTAAAGTCACAGCATTAATATGAGTTTAAATATTTCGAAACTGTGCGAGTTAATTAAAAAAAAAACTAGATGACTTATGTCACTAGTTTTGTATTTAAAAATACTCTGACACGATACACATCTGGATAAAATTAAAATTCAGAGTCTACGCCTTATACTTTTTTTAAAATTTGTATTTGAATGTGGAATTTAGGTGTTTTTTTGATGGACATGAAAGGTGTTAACTAGTCCCAAAGGATAGCAGATGACCCCTTCATTCGACCATTTCAATTTGGCACACGATGCACCAAACACCCTGTATTTCAAAATATATTGTGTTTCCCCTTTCAGCTTCAAATAACGCGTATCGGCATCCAATACCCCCCCTCGATGGAGCCGCCCTCTTTCGTGCTGCCCTTGATCTACGACATCGGCGTGAACGTGACCTCGTTGGCGGAGAAGCGGGAGGCGGGAGCGGTGCAGCCGGCGATGGCAGCCGCCTCTCAGCTGCTGAAGCACTTCGGCCAGTTCCAGGCCAACGTGAACGAGTGCTCGGTGTTTCCGGCGCTGAGAGAGTTGCTGGCCAATTTGAATTGGCCCGCCGAACCGCAGGTGAGTGATCGTTGAACCTAGTCTGAATCGATTTTCTAGCTTGTCCTACTCGTTTTGTCGCATTTCTTACGATAAATCTCAAAAAAATGTACGTAGGGCAAACTATAAGATTCATTGATGCTAGTTTTAAGGAACATTTGGTATATCAGAAACGGTGCTTACTAATTTGAATTGACCCGCCGGACCGCAGGTGAGTGAGTTGTCGGTGATCGTTGAACCTAGTCTGGATAAATCTTCTTGCTCGTTCTACTCGTTTTGTCGCAATCAGACGATGAATATCGACAAAATGTACGTAGGGCAAACTATAAGATTCATTGATGCTAGTTTTAAGGAACATTTGGTATATCAGAAACGGTGATCGTTGAACCTAATCTGGATAAATCTTCTTGCTTGTCCTACTCGTTTTGTCGCAATCACACGATAAATGGCGATAAAATGTACGTAGGGCAAACTAGAAGATGCATTGAAGCTAGTTTGAAGGAATATTCCGTATATCTGAAAGTAAGGCTAAAGGCTATCGTCTTCCTTGAACTCAGCTTCGATGAATCTTCCAGCTTGTCCTACTCATTTACGATCAATTGCGACAAAATGTACATAGTGCAAACTAGATTTCCAGGAACATTCTTCATTTCAAAAAGCTGTAAGAGTTGCTAGTGTATTCTAATTTACCCGCCGAACCGTACAGTATGGCTATCGTGCTCCTTGAAACTTGTTATGATGAATCTTGACAAAATTCACCTAGGGCAAACTAAATGATTCATTGAAGCTAGTTTTACGAAACATTTGGTATCCCAGGAACGGTGCTTTCTAATTTGACTTGGCCCGCCGGACCGCAGGTGGGTGAGTTGTCGGTGATCGTTGAACCTAGTCTGGATAAATCTTCTTGCTTGTCCTACTCGTTTTGTCGCAATCACACGATAAATGGCGACAAAATGTACGTAGAGCAAACTAGAAGATGCATTGAAGCTAGTTTGATGCACACATAGTGCAAACTAGATTTCCAGGAACATTCTTCATTTCAAAAAGCTGTAAGAGTTGCTAGTGTATTCTAATTTACCCGCCGAACCGTACAGTATGACTATCGTTTTCCTTGAAACTTGTTATGATGAATCTTCTTTCTAGCTTGTTCTCGTTTTGTCGCATTTCTCACGATAAACCTCGACAAAACTTACCTAGGAAAACTAGAAGATTCAGTGAAGCTAGTTTAACGGAACATTTGGTATATCAGGAACGGTGCTTACTAATTTGAATTAGCCCGCCGAACCTCAGGGCGTCGGTGATCGTTGAACATAGTCTGGCTTCTTGCTAGTCCAACTCGTTTCGTCGCATTTCTCACGATTAATCGCGTAGGGCAAAGTAGAAGATTCATTAAAACTAGTTTCAAGGAACATTCGGTATATCAGAACCGCAGGTGAGTTGTGTAGGTGATCGTTTCGTGTTCCTTGAACCTCATTTGGATGAATCTTCTAGCTCGTCCTACTCGTTTTGTCGCAATTCACACTAATAGTGGCGACAAAATGTATGTAGGGCAAACTAGAAGATTTATTGAAGCAAGTTTTGAAGAACATTCTATATATCGGAAAGATGCGTAAGTTGCTGGCAGATTGGAATTCACCAGCCGAACTACTCAATAGGGCCATGCCATTGTGGATGTACAATATGGTATGTTACGACAACGCATCTTTTTATATGTAACTGCGAGAGCTGGCAGTCTGAGCTGGCACTTATCGATTCGCCCGAGTGGCCGTGATCATTATTGGTGTGAGTAAAGACTCGCAGTGACGTTATTCGCAGAAAATACGAAAGCAAGAAACGTGAGTAGCACACCATATTGTATTTTCACCATAAGTAGGGCTATCGTGTTCCTTGAACCTAGTCTGGATGAAATTGCTCACTTGGCCTATGTAGTTTGTCGCTATTATTACTATTAATCGTGGGGAAAAAAGAGACAATATTAATTAGTTTTGAGGAACATTCCCCTTCATCAGAAAACTTCCTGGAATTTTACAAAGCATTCAGTCATTTCGAATTTATCAATTTTTTATAGGTTCAAAGTCCAGCTCCAGTTCAACAGATACAGTCACCTGCACTTCAGATGCCCGGCCAAGCTGGCCAAGGTGGATATCCAGTCAATATGCCGATGGGTATGATGGGGCCTCAATAATTATTTTATTAAGCATTAATTATATTGTTTTCTGTATATATTTTACTATTGAAATAATCTATTTGAATTTAATCAAGCTTTTTTTCAATTTATGAAAAAAGACCTGGCTCAGCCACTTCTGATCTCCTGGTACTATAATATTCCGAATTTACCTTAAATTTGAACGAGTAAGGGTTGCTGGGCTGTGTGCACGTGAATATATACCAAAGAAGGGAAGATTTGTATTCCGTGCAAAATAATTTATTCAATATTCGTAGCAGAGCGCTTTCGACTGTTGAGTCATCATCAGTGCGTACTCGTCAGGTTAACAGGAAAATTCGTCCATTTAAAACTAACGACATTAAGGTAAAATACATTACAAACAAATTAGCGACATGTCGCAGCGACAATGGCTACTTAACAAAATGTAATCCATATTTTACCCCCTTTTAGGAAACACATTTTAATTTGTTTGTAATGTATTTTACCTTAAGACGGGCCTCCACATTTTAACGCTGACCTTCTCGCGAGATGTCACTACGGTGAAGAAATCATAAATTAATTACGCCATCTTGAAAATTCAATGCAGAGCTCTTCAATTTTTCGAAGCCTAATATCAGTACAGAAATCTGCATCGATCTAGTACAATTCAAATCGACTGCCGATTGGACCACCTAGGGCGCTCAGGGCACAAAACATTATGACGGATGACGGCTGACAGAACATTTACTTACAATTCCAGACGATAGATGGATAAATGATGAATCAAATTATTTTCAACATAGTTCAGTCGTTGATTGATATATTACGCTTAAGCGTAATATATCAATCAACGACCATACTGAACTGATTACTGAACTAAAACAAGAACTGACTTAAAGAAAGGATAACTCAAAATAACTATTCGTGAATTAAAAAATGAGTGATAAATGTTTGCTATTGCTCAATATTCAACATCCTTGAACGTGCAAAGGCATTCTTGAACAAATAACAAACTTTTCACATTTTGAGCTCCATCTAATGGTACATCATCCAGTTCGCGCAAAACGTACTAGATTAGATGCTTTTAGAGCCGACTGCTGCGACGGTACCTCCATCTAGCAGAGAGTACCTGAACTACGATATTCAAGTTTTCTACCATCTAATTTTATTGATTGATTGTCTTTATTATAGTTGCCGTCAGACATATAAAATAAATAAAAAGACGCAAAAAATGGTCGATTAGCGCTCCCATGCTGACAACCAGGGTCGGATTAGTACATATGCGAAGAAATATTGTGATGCGTGCAGATTGTCCAGCTAAGTATACATGTTATCAATAAGTTAATTCAATATCTGATGACTCAACCTTTTGGATGAGTATCCAGCCATTGTTAGAATATTAGCTGAAGAGCACTGTATTATACAGTGAGGGCGTGAAAAGTCCTTCCCTCCTTCAACTTTTGAAAAGGTAAAAAGCTACTTATCTTTCAACTTTTTGACATGAAAATGGTTGTGGTCACGTGGCCTTGGTCAAATCGGCCAATCGACGAATTCGACCATGCGGTTGCAAAATGACAAAGTTTTGGAATTTGCTTCAAATATTAATATTATTTGATGAAAAACCTGAAGATAACTCTTAATTGCAATGCAATTTCAAGTAACAATTATTGTGAAGTGCTCAAGAATGCTGGAAATGTTCATCGTTCACTTATTGACACAAGAAAATCGTTTTGGAATTCAATCCTAACGTTATTTACAGTTTCCGAAGTAAATTTCAAACGCTTGTCAATAAAAGTCTTGGCCGATTTGCACGCACGAAACGGTGTTGGATAGAGAATCGGAAAGCCTTCAAAACAAGGTAAATACCACGTGATCCTTCTCTACATTTGAAAAAAAAGTTGATGGTGCCCACTTGATACCATAGGCCACGTGACCACAAACAATTTAACTCAAAGGTATTTTGACCTGAATTTTACTTGCTTCACTAGCTTGTTCTGTTCAAAAGTTAAATACTTTTCACGTCTTCACTGTATTTAACTTATTGTAAGTATTGGGTGTATTTATCGAAAAAGCTGCTCACTCACGCAATTAGATATATTCAGCTTGAAAATCATTATTGTCATTAGAGTCATCCGACCCATCATGTAATTCCCAAGACCTGAAGAATGTTTCCATATTTTTATAATTATTGATATTCTTAAATAATAGATTAAGTAAACAACTGTCCGGTCGAAGACAAATTCGCTATATTAGCTTCGCGGACCGCATAAAAGTGTGATTATTATCACGTCCGACCCTGCATCGAAAAAAACATACATCCTTGCCGCGCGGGTCTTTGCATCTGCCGCGCCAAGTGTTACGTGGGGGCGATAGGTGGAATAATGCGAACAAAATGTGGACATTCCAATAATTCAATAGTTTCATTGCAATTTTTCTCTAATAAAGTTTAGTTGGTAAAACTGCATTTAGCATGCGATGGTTTTTTTTCGAAATTTTTTTTGGTACTTACGTATTTTTGTCTGAAAAACACGAATTTGACAATGATAATGTGAACAAACCACTATTTATCGAGATATTTCAAAAAAAAGTTCGAAATTTTGACTCCTTTTTCCCCTTGTGTTGGATGCATTTACAGGTACTTGCTCTTCTTATTTTGTCATTGGACACTTTATATACTCATGATGTACTTCATCACTCATATTCAGTGAAAAAGCATACCAGATGACGGCCATTCAATTAATAGTCAAACCAGATACGAGATGTCAAATGTCAACAGAGTGCTTCTGAATGACACACACGCCACTATTTCAAATGATATCCTCCCTTTTTTCACTAAATATGGATAAATCACAAGAAAATCATATTTCTATAGTTGACTCAATAACAGAAAAAAATGTGTCTCACATTGTGATATATATATAAATTGTCCAATGATGAAAAAAGAAGGGTAAATTGTTTTAAATTCAATCCAGAAGACAGGCGGAAAAGAAGATGAAATTTGTAACTTTATAGTGAAATATCTTAATAAACAATGGTTTGTTCACATTTTCATTATCAAATTCGTCTTTTTCAGACAAAAATACGTAAGTACCAAAAACCATTTTCGAAAAAAAAAACCATCGCATGCTAAATGCTGATTAATAGGAAAGTTGAATACATTTTCATGCAACGGCATGTAGGCGTATATATGCACTTATTCGCGAATTTCCTTCTCTAGATTATATTCATATTATCTGTATAAAGTATAAATTATCTGAATTTCTGACAGTCGTGATCAAAGAATGCATTAAGTATCTATTGAATAAATTGTATATACGCGAATGTTCAAACTTTTTTATTTGTTAAGGTAATTTTTGATGAATGATAATAGAATCATTACTCTGCATATATTTCTTCAATGAAGTATATCTAGATAACTGATCTCTAATTTACCTACTCGTATATCCAAACGAAGAGAATTAATAAATTCACATTCGAACATTAGCTAGATATTTCAAATTCTTCATCACTCTGCATATATTTCTTCAATGAAATATCTAGAACTTATCTCTAATTGACTCAAATTTCCAAACGAAGAGAATTAGTAAATTCACATTCGATAATGAACATTAGCTAGATATTTCAAATTCTTGCACCACTTGCCCCCAACACTATGAGGCAGAGATGGAGAAGAAAAAACTATGCGTTTTACTTACATTTTTTTCATTATCTTATACTGTTGACGGCAACTATACCCCAAGAAATATTTCTGTTTATGATAGGGATACATAAATACATATAAAAAAAATAATAATAAAGGGTTAACTATAATGAATTCCACTCAGTGGAAACGAATTAATATTGTGTCTTATAAGATTAAAGTTATATTTCATTCCTAAGTAATCAAATCATGCCACATATTTTTCTTTCAAATTGTCCTGAGCAAGTATTTTTTAAGATTGATTTTAAACCTTCTTGCATCATGTATATTTTTCAACTCATTCGGTAATGAATTGTATAGAATTATTCCATTGTGAAAAACAGATTGTTTGCCAATGTTTGAAGATATTATCCATGCAAGATATATGTCGTTAGTTTTAAACTAGACCAAAGATATTTTTATGAACGAATTTTCCTGTTAACTTGACGAGTACGCACTGATGATGACTTAACAGTCGAAAGCGCTCTGCTAGGAATATTGAATAAATTATTTTGCACGAAATACAAATCTTCCCTTCTTTGGTTTAAATTTGAACAACTTTTATGATGGGATGTATATTCATCTTATGAATGCATGGATGAAATGCCTCCTACACACTTCTCTCCTGAGGCCTACATTTATATTTTTTATTAAAAATCAGTATTTTTCAAAGATAGTAACAAATTCGGTTCTCATAAATAAAATACTTCTGCTCCCCTGATACCTACATTTATATTTTGCCTTAAAAGCATAAATGAATAAATAAAAAAACCTCCTATATACATAATTCTGCCACTTTTGCTCTCCTGGTACGTACATTTTGTAGGCCTTTCAAAATTATAGAGGGTTCTCAAGGGGAGTAGAGGCATATAACATTATTTTGTATAGGGTAAATAAAATGAAAAGGGGTTGAAATTAAACAGAATGATAAGACAATAACTTATATTCCGGTAATATATTTTTATGTTACAGTACAATTAAAAAAATAATCTTAAAATATCCTTAATAGAAAATGAAACTTTTTTCTATGAAATTTAAAAATATGTTACATATTCGAACAATAGTAATAACATTCACTCAACAAAATAATCGATATTAAAAATTTCACTAGCAAATATAAAGTCTTATGTCAGCAACTAATGAAAAATAGGGCCTTATGGCACGAAATAATGTGCATTAAAAATCCGACGTTATAAAACACCTGACATCAAAGTGGATTTGTAATGTTCATTTATTTCGTTTGATATGCCATAAAAACCTATTTTGGAATGCTGGCAATATTTCCATTTCAACATACAGGGCCATCCGAAAACAACGCCAATACATATTATCTTGGAAAACTGAAGGTATATAAAAGTTTAATTTGTGCAAGGCGAACTCCATGATACATATTTTAAAATCACAAAACGTGAACTAATTTGACGATGGCACTGAAAAATTACCTATAAGACGACGTTATCATTTTTTATTCTTTTTTTTGGTATGCCCCTTTCATTTTTTAGATCTCAACAATTTGAATGATACAGATTGGTAAAATATTCTTTGTATCCATAGTCAATGACAAGTTTCAGATAGCCCTGTATACCAGTATATACACAGAGAAAAGCCTCACTTATATAATTTCAACAATCACATAAAATTATCAACAAACTCGCTTCACATAAGTAGGTTCCGAAATTGGGGAGTCGATTGCAAAGTATGAGTGATGATACGGGGTGTCCCAAAAATTCAGGTCAGGTTGAATGCTCCGTGAATGCCTATCAAATGTCATTGACTTGAATAACTCTTGAAGTCGTAAGAATAGTGGCCCAGATGGAAAAACACCTTGTACAGGCATCAAGAGAAATCGGTCACAATAATTATAATTCAACAATGTCCTCGAATTTGGGACACCACATAAGGCATCATTATAGACTGACCGTTAATACCAGATTCTGTGCAACGTTTCTTTAATCAATGCATCTGTCAAGTCATGATTTTTAGGGGTTTTCAACATGTCCTAGACAATTTTCTAATTATTGGGCTCACCTGTCGCGGCTTCAAATTTGAATTTGAAATTTGAAGAGCTGCCTCCTGCATTCTTCGAATGTGTGCGACTGAATTCCCCCCTTTTGTACCGTGGTATAAATAAAGACATATTATTATTATTATAAAATTGATGATTCGGAACAATCATTACAACCATTAGAATTGGTTTTTGTTGAAATTTGAAAAAAATTATACCGCGGAAAGATTTTTATCAAATGAACGAACATGGTGAGAAATAGCGGGCATTGCTGAACTAGTGTGTTGTTCAGGACATTCCGTAATCCCGCTAAAAGACTGAATTTTGATTTCGAGGAAAGAACAAACCACGTACCTACCTACAGAAAATTGTAATTCTACAGAAAAATCCCAACATCGTGTTATGGAAGATTTAACGGCCACCGATCGTTGAAGAATCTTAACAAACGGAGGCTGTTAACATTAATTTTTCAATTGTCATCTGAATACCGTTAAATCAAAATAACAGTATGGGATTACGAAAAATTATTGAACGTTTGCGTTTTCGCAGCCATATTTTGGGTATTAGTTGTATCACTATACTAACTGAACTAACTTGCACCTTTATTGTGATTTCAAATAATTATTCACACTATCTATCACATATTCAGTTAATAATTTTGGGACTTCCTACACGAGGCCGGCGTATGCAAATTCTTCACGCGGTATCATTTTTTTCAAATTTCCACAAGAAATTTGCATACATTTAGTAATCGTTCGAAATCTGTACCAAATCTACCAACTCAGAGTCTCATAGACTACCGATGACTAAAGGTGTTCCTCAAGGATCTGTTTTAGGACCAATCTTATATTTATTATACATTCAATATCACCAACATTGAAACAGAAAGTAATTACATTATTTATGCAGACGATACGGTGCTTTTATATGAAAATAAAAATCCTATCATTTTAGAAAATATAATTAATGGACTTGATGATATTTGAAAAATAGCTGCATTCAAACCTTTTGTCAATAAATACTGGTGAGACAGAATATAAGATTTTTCAAAAAAAAAAAGAAATATATAAATTTAAATCCCAAGATTAAAAATGGATATTCATTTTACTTGGTTCTTTGGAATTTTCTCTCCTCGTTTCTATAAAATAAAAGTATTCGTATTATTTCAATATATTTGTAGAGGGACAAATCAGATGATTTGCCCCAAAATGTCACTGCGTTTAACAATTTTTTTCTATCAGGGAGTCTAAAAGAAAAATCCAGTAGCTTGTCAGTGACAATTTGTTTGAAAAAATTTTTGAAGGAAAGAAATATAGATATATTGAAAAAATATCGAATTTGTACTTATCTTTGGACGTTTCGGGACCGATTCTGCTCCCGTTCTCAACATGTAAATGCAAATTATTTTTCTTTGAAAGTTGTGCTGCGTATGACACTTTTCAGTGTTATACTGATGTTGGCATATGAATGAGTGATTTTAGTCTACAAATGAGTTACAAAGATAAGTACAAATTCGATATTTTTTCAATATATCTATATTTCTTTCCTTCAAAAATTTGTTCAAACAAATTGTCACTGACAAGCTACTGGATTTTTCTTTTAGACTCCCTGATAGAAAAATTTGTTAAACGCAGTGACATTTTGGGGCAAATCATCTGATTTGTCCCTCTACAAATATATTGAAATAATACGAATACTTTTATTTTATTTTATAGAAACGAGGAGAGAAAATCCCAAAGAACCAAGTAAAATGAATGTACCACCTCCTCGATTAACCTACAGACAGTATTTAAAAATGGATCTTCGAAACGAAATAATGAGAAAAAGTATCTTGGAATTTGGTTGGATGGTAAATTAAAGTGGGACAAACATGTGAAAGTTTTAATGAAAAAAACATCTATTGGAGCCCTGAGAAGATGTCCCAAGCTCGATAAAAAAATTGCAAATATAATTATTTATTCTCATATACTCAGTCGCATTAAATATTTGATAAATGTTTGGGGACATAATTTTGATGAAATATCTGCATTATATAAAAAGACATTGAAAGTACTGTATCGTTTACCATATGATACACCAACAAATCAGTTATATAAAATAACAAAAACATTCTCATTGAAAGAAATGTTCAAAATTGAAAATATGAAAATAACATACAATACCATAAATAAAAGATTGAAATCCAATTTTATTTCAACACGAAACAATTAAATTCATGATTACGAAACTAAACATGGTTCATTGCATCTGGATATTGCTAATTCTTCCATAGGACAAAAAAGATTCACCCACGCTGCTCTGTTCGAATAAAACAAATTACCAGATAATATAAAAAATTGCACAAATTCAAATACGAACTTGAAAAATTTATCATTTCTGAACGTATGTTATTATTTATGCCAGTTTGTTATAATTGAAGGGGCAAGTGGAAGAAGAGGTCAAGTAACATTTTCTGAAGATATTCGGTTATGTCATGGAAGAAGGTGTTACGTTCATAATTATGTAACTTGCCCTGTCAGGATTTGTTTCTATTCTCATATCTGAGTAGATACACAGTGACCAGAAAGGACTATGTTACACTAAACATCAAGAACGAAATGAAAGAAGGAGCTAAGTGCCCATTATCTACATATCAGGAAATGCAAGAAGGGGTTATGTATGCATGAATCCATATGTATATCAAAAATGATATGATAGCCAAATGCGGTGAATCACAAAAAAAACAACCCAAAACTATTCCTCACAATTGCATAATAGTTATTTATGTATCAAGGGCGTAAAGTAGGCGTTTATGGCCTGTGGCGTGAATAATGACCCGATGGCGTTAGCCGAGGGCCATTACACGCTGAAGGCCATAAACGCATTTCACGCACGAGATACATACAACATTTTATGCACTAGTGGTTTATTTTCTGACTCATAAGTAATGACTATAGATTTCGATAAACTAATATTCCCCAGAATTTAATTTGTTACGTATAAATTCAGTAATCAAGAGAAGCGTAATGTTCATGGATGATTTACATATGAAAATTATCGTACGAATATTGCAATTATCGTAATAGTAAAACTCTTTCAGCTGTAGAAGAGATTCATTCTTCAGAATTTGACAATATGCATACCCAGTATATAAACCTAACTTATTTTTACGTTGTCAATCAATCTGATGGTTGTTGTCTATAGCAATACATCCAATAAACGAGCTGAATTGTCATTCTTCGATTGAAAAGTAAAATTAGTGATAATAATAATAGCGAGACTATGGAATCGGATGAAGAAGAAGTTTATGATATACCGCTGGATATATCAGAATCTAGAAATATGATCATAGGTTTTTCATAAATTGATATGTGGATATAAGGTGACTGAGAACAGCGGGCGGTAAAGTGCGACTTAACGCCCGCAAAATCGGGCGGTAAAGTGCACTTTACGGCCCGCTAGTGCATAAATCAAATTATTAAACTAGCTTTCATTAAAAAATGCCAGCCAACTTTACTAAAACCTATTTTTCTCACAAACTCATACTTGTAACATCCTTCTTCCACTTGCCCCCTCAATTTAGTTGTGTATAATTGTTAAGTATACTTCCCTATACCAAAACTTGTTTCTGACTGTAAGTCCCATCTTCAATAAAAATAATAATAATAAAATTTGATTGGCCACGCCGATGTATGCAACCACAATTAGATAATTGTCTTTAAAATCATGACATGAAAGATATGCATACAGGGTGTCCGGAAATTATGCGCAAAAAATCAAGGGGGTGATTCTGCATGAGAAAGCATGAAATTTATTTCATATATACTTGGGTCCGGAAATGCATAGTTTTCAAGATACAGTGTGCTAAACCTATTAGAAAAAATCAGTTTTTTATGAATATCTCAAATATTCTTCCACCGATTCTCTTGAAATTTGGCACTGATTTTCTTTGTCATTAGGGGCTGATTTAGCCATAATTGAATAGGATTTGTGAAATCCAGTGGCGTCCCGGGGGCACCATACCGAATATTATTATCAATAAAATGTGCGCCACTGATTGTTTTACATTCTGTATCTTAATATCCTAATGATTAACTAAAAATACAACATTTTGGTCTCTTGAATTGTTTTGCTATTCTGCTGCGTTTCCGAAGAAAAAAATAAAAACCAATGCATTGTATAAATTTGTGCAAAACATTGCTTCAAAAACAGGGGTGAAATTAAATGTGTGATCCATGTCCATGGACGGAGAATAAGAATGGAGATTCATTTTCTTCAAATATTTTATAATACATGTTTGACACACTTTGTATTATCGAAAACTACGCCTTCCTTTACCGAGAATACATAGTTCTCAATATACAGAGTGTAGAGTGTGTCAAACATGGATCAAGAAATATTTGGAGAAAATAAATCTTCATAATTATTCTATGTCCATGGGGATTGATCACGCATTAATTTTCACCCCAGTTTTTGAAGGAATTTTTTGGCAAAAATTTATGCAATAAATTGGTTTTTATTTTTTTCCATGGAAATGAAGCAAATTATCAAAACAATTCAAGAGACCAAAATGTTGTATTTTTAGTTGGTCAATAGGTTATAGAGATACAAAATTCAAAAAAATCAGTGGCGGACATTTTATTAACAATAATATTCGGTAGGTTGCCCCCCGGGACGCCACTGAATTTCATAATTCCAATTGAATTATAGTTATATCAGCCCCTCATGACAAAAAATATCATTGCCAAATTTCAAGAAAATCGGTGGAAGGACATTTGAGATATTCATAAAAAACCGATCAAGTTTTAACACACTGTATGTTGAAAACTATGCATTTCCGGACCCACGTACATATGAAATTAATTCCTTATTTCATCATGTAGAATCACCTCCTTGATTTTTTGCGCATAATTTCCGGACACCCTGTATATTAAAAAAAACGTTGTACAGAATCTGTCATTAACGGTCAGTAAATCAGTTACAATGAAAGTTTACACGTTATTTATTTCACGACGAATCATTTAAGTAGCAGGCGCTGAGAAAAATGTCGGTGCGAGTCGGTCAATTTTCGAGAAAAAAAACGAGCGGTCGCGTCTGTTTGTCTAAGGTTTCGTTCGACACCTCGATGATGGTTTTTTCGTCGAGACTTTTTGCTGTCGGCTTGCCATCGTTGATCGAATGGAAAAACTGACTGCGCAGGATGGCTGCCTGTGAAGGATATTTCCTGCAAGCAACAAATATTCCGAATCAGCAGGACAGCATCGACAGCACAGAGAGGGGTCACCTTATATTTTGATCCTCCACCAACAGCTTCTCGTATACAACATGGAAGAAACTTTAAATATGATAGTTGTAGAGTTTCATCGGTTCTGACTGAGGCCGCAACAAGAGATAAGATACTAGCGGGGCGCATTTTTCCATTGCCTTTTACAACTAGAGCTTCGCGGATCGCTTATGTAATAGGCTACGTAAAATATTGACATTTTACAAGTCCTATCCGATTGACGCACATTTTGAAAGGAATCGAGCGCCAGTGATAACTGCACATTTAGTATGCAGTTTGTATGGTCAAGAAAGTGCACGTGCAATTTTCTAATGATGAAACAATAATCTCAAAAATTACTGGATAGTAATATTTGGACACGAAAGTCACAATGTGGACAACATGAATTACATCATTGAAGTATCAATTCGCATAATGAAGAATTTCGTTCTACAAAGATTTGGAACGGTTAATGCAGTGTTTCTCTCAGGATGTATAACACACTCACTGAAAGAGTTTTACAAACGAAAATGTATCTCATATGCAAATGGTCGTGGGTTTGAGTTGGATCTTTGATTCAAAAAAATCTGTTGTGAGGCTAACTTCTTTGGAGTGACCAGAAAAACATAATACTACACGTTTTATGGTCAGTTTATCCCAAGATGAAAATCTTGTAGACCGATACTGTTGATACACATATAGAATATAGAACAGTGTGATTGTCCTGCAGGAGCAGGAGGACAGCTTTGCAAACATATTTGTGAATTCGTTAACAACGCTGAATTTGGTATTTCAGGATCGGGTAGATCTTGCAAAGTTGGCACATGGTGATGACGTTGATGAAAGTATATTATTATGAACCTTGAAGAAGAACGTCAACCATCAAACGAAAATTCATTGACAGCCAATGTGTATTAATAATTCTCCAGAGACCGGAGATAGTACCGAAATATTAGCCGAAAATGAGCGAACTTCAGTTAGTACAGGAAACAAAAAAAGGCGGAGTATGAAAAATAAGTAGATTGTCTTGCAGAAAATTGGAAAGAAATTTCTCAATTTGCTGCATCTCATCCGTCCGAATACATGCTTGAATGCATAGAAGACTTGAATACCAAATTCATATTGAAATCGAAGATACGTTTCATAATATTATTCTCATCTATCACAAATATTACGTCAGTATTACGGCGAACAATGAAAAGTTGACAAACAGGAACCTGCTGACAAGCCATTTAAAATAGAAGCTTCAAAGAGATGTTCTGAATGGGGAGGACATTATTCATTCCAAAATTTCGAAAGACAGCTCGACTAATTAAAAATAACTTCATTATCAACTAATACTCTATGTTCTAGTTTTCTCTTGCCAACTGTTATGAATAATGAAATTTATAATATTTCTGTAATAGTTCATCGCATATTCATTGGAAAAGTCTATCATTTCCAACTATAGAGCTTATATTGTGCGTCTATCGCATAGGGATTGTAATATTTTCATATTTACGTATCCTATGACATTAGCGTTCCGCTTAGCTCTACTGGTATAGGAAACGGAAAAATGCTAGCGGAGCAACAAAATAAAAAGCATGTGTCGACGTGGAAGAAACTTCAAATATGATAGTTATAGAGTTTGATCGGTTCAATCTTAGGCCGCGGCAAGAGATAATATACTAGAGGAACAACGGGATGAAAAGTATGTGTTCATATGCAGGTATTGACATCGGAGCGGCAGTGATTTTGACGACCGACGATGTGTCTGAGAAGATGTTGATTTCTCTACTATTCACTGAGAGCGAAATTTTATTGAGGATCAGTCAAAAAAATATTATACTTCGAAAAATTCATGTCAACAAATCAAAAACAAAGGTTTACTTGGGAATACTTCTGTGGGATCGAACAGACAAGAATAATATCAATAGGTTGGTGCTCTATTAAATACTTCAGCCTCTTTCAAAATCGGATATTTTTAAAAATAACACTGCGATACTGGAACGGTTTGTTCAGTGTTGTAGAAAAATTTATTGGAAATAAGAAGAATGAAACTTTTTTCTCAAGGTTCAAAATGCGACGTCTACAGTGCTAAAATCCACATTACTAACAGAAAAACAATATTTCCAAAGACCTCCATATTACCTGATGAATTCTGACGAAACATTTCCCGAGATTTTCTTACTCTTGATGAGTGAATGGAAGTGTTTGAAATCTTACGTAGTTGGGAGTTATACTGGGTATCACAAGTTATTCTCAGAGAAACCTGACAATAAACCGATTAAAATGACTTTCACTTCCCATCAAAATTCTCAGTCAAATTTAGGCCGACCTTCACCCATTTGTTTAATGGATGAACATTATTTTATATGCAATTTGGTATGTTAAAAATTATTGAAAATGTATTGCCTTGTTTAGAATCGAATTTCCTATGGATTAGGAATATTGTATATCGGGTATACCATTTACAAAAATTGAACTCCTTGACATAAATTAAAGTTAGTTTTCTGTTTCGTTTTCATCACCTTAATCAGCAGGAAACATACCACTAGTTTGTCCATTTGATCGACTCTGTAGCTCGAATAACAACTAAGTTAGCAATAGTGCCGACTTGAGTTTGAAACCCCCCTATATCCGGGAAAAAAGTACTCACTTTTTTCCGGTGGGAAAAATAGTTATTATACAAGGAAAAAAAGTACTAGATATTAGCTCTAGGTTGTGTTGTCTCCCGAAGCGCATCAGAGGGAGACAAAAAAGCGTGAGCTGAAATACAATATTTTTCCCGTGTATAATACACTAGTTTTTTCTGTGACAGGGAAAAGGACGAATCTATATCGAAAAGATATTACATTATATCAAAATCAGAAAATTATTGACGATAAATTTGAAGTTTTCAACAGGAATGACAAATGCGATCAGAATTCTGAATCTTGAACCACCCTGTATCTGTTCCGATTAAATATCAGTAAATAGTGAATCAAAAGTTGAGATTGGGACATGTGAGCCGTTTTGACCGATAATGAATAGTTTGGACACAAAAATATCCTAAAGTTGAAAAATCTCGATTTTTAACACCCTATATGTCTGTAATCTTATTCAATAGACCCCAAGTGTGCTACATCGATGAAATCAGCTCTTCAGGAAGATACTGAAAATGCGATAAAATACAGGGTGTTCCATTTGAAATATCAATGTTGCTACTACTTTCTAGTAGAAGCGGCAACACTGCATTGTCGAAAATATTTTAAATGAAGAGAGCGTATACTGAAATATAAGCATGCATATTTCCATGGATTTCGCCGGACTAATTCTCGATATAAAGATAGTGTACGCTCGTGACAGACCCTGTATATCCGTGGGAAAAAAGTAATTTATGAAAAGTGACATTTCATAACCTGTCAACAGAGATGAAATTTCAAACTTTTTTCCCGTCACAGAAAAAACGAATTATAACGTTTCTCCAGCACAGCATACCGCACGGGATCATCAGATGCGATCGATCATTAGACGCTAATAGAGAGTTGAAGTGTTACGTTTGACAGCTACGCATGCGCGTTTTTCAATTCTCCACGTTTGCGTTGATAGTGGGCTTACGGGTGTACGTTATCTCAGGTACTCTCACGTATACCTTGAATATCGACGTACGTTAACCAAACTATACTCGAAATATGCCGATGAGTCAAAATTATCAAATTCGGGGTCCCCCACAGAACTCAAAGACCCACGTGCCCAAGGAGTTCTCATTTTAACACGAATAAATGTTCAGATCTGAATAAACAACCGAAAATGACCAATACATGTGCGGTGTACCGGGTGTACCACTAAGAAAGGACGCCGGCTGTATCTCGGAAACTATTTGCCGCACAGGTTTCGAAAAAAAAATTAATGATGAAAGTGACCAAGAGGAATCTCTGGAAATCATTTTCACGTTTCCAGGACAGCCGCTAGAGGGCATAATTGCATTGGCCAGTTTAATAAACGGGTTTTTATGAAAATTTTGATATATCAAGACATATCAATACCACTTTTTCCATGTTCTAGAGTTGATTTCCAATCATTTCGATCAAAAAAATTGCGCTAGCTCTTTAAATGGAAGAGGGAGGGAAGGATGAATAGTACTTTGAAAAAACTCTCATTAATACAGTTTGATGAAACGGAATTTAACGATCTTGGTCTCATTATGGAGGGTTCTTTTAGTTCTTCCAGATGAATCACGAATCAAGTCGATTTAAATCCTGTGGTGGCCGCTAGATGGCATCGTTTGCAAAGTCAGACAATTTTCCATTTTTTTCGAGAATTTCAAATGGTATCATATATTTATTCTACCGCGGATTGATACCTCTTGAGGAATCAGTGAAATACTCGAAATAATATCATGAAAATATTTACCACAGGAAGCTAACTTCAATGATCGTAATCAGAAATATCCTGTATCTATGAAATTATTTTGGTTTCACAAACTGCTCTTATATCTCACAATGGTAAAGGAGACTTTTAGTAATGACATAGCTAATTGAAATGTAAGTAGTGAGTATAGGCTCAGGAATGAGAAAAAGCAAGTTGGCTTTGAATGAAAGAAACGTCAAAATATAATTGAAGTTCCATTGGAAGTTTTCACTGTTCATTGTGGATTGTGTTCTTGTCAAAATGCCGATATCGAATGAGGAGGCATTTGAAATGCTAGCAGTTTAAATTTTAATAATATTATTCCGAGTATTTCTCCGATTCTTCAAGAGGTATCAACTCGCGGTTTTCACCATTTTTCTTCTCGTTTACTTCACTTTCATATTATAGCAGGAAAAATATATGGTTTGATTTGGAATTCTCAAAAAAAAAAAGGCAAATCGGCTGATTTTTCAAACGATGCGATCTAGCGGCCACCACGGGATTTAAATCGACTTGATTCGTGATTTATCTGAAAGATATGAAAAAACCCTTCATAATGAGACCAGGATCATTGAATTCCGTTACACCAA